TATGTACACCATATACAATATGGACTGCTGGCCCAAGAGCAGTTTGAAAGCAGAAGATGGCTTTTGAAGTGAAAGCAGATGGTCCCTTTCCTCTTTACCTAGAAGAATGCAGCATAATATTTCCCAAAATGAATATCAAATTTCAATTCTTCGAGCAACGTAGCTGTTTTCCACTTTACCAAACTTAAATGGGCTTTTTTCTTTTTTTAAAGAATCAGTATTTTGTATGTTCATTTTTATTTAAATGTTTGAGAGTTTGATATTTAAGACTACATGACTAAACATTGTTTGTAAAACTCTGACATTGTGTCACTGTCTCAAATGCTTTCCTTAGTATCCAACACACAAGCGCATATTCAATTCATCCATCCATTACCTTTTACTCGCTTCTTCCATTTTGGGTCACTGGGGTCGCCGGTGCTCATGTCCAGCAATTACTGTGCGAGGGGCGGGGTACACCCTGGACGGGTCTCCAGTCCATCACAGGGACACATAGAGACAAACAACCATTCACTCTCTCACTCTCACCTAGGGACAATTTAGAGTTACCAATCAGCCTAACATGCATGTTTTTGGTCTGTGGGAGGAAACCGGAGTACCCAGAGAAAACCCATGCATGCACGGAGAGAGCATGCAAACTCCACCCAGAAAGGCCCCCGGACCGGGATTTGAACCAGGGACCTGCTCGCTGAGAGGCAGCAGCTGTACCACCATGCTGCCATATTCAATTCAGTTCAGTTTATTTATACAGCGTCAAGTCACAACAGAAGTCATCTCAGGGCACTGAACAGAAATATTCATAAAATAAGTTAACAGAAACATTCACATTAAAAATAATAATTTAACATTATTTATCAAATTACTACCTACAACTAACTTTTGGGAAATGTAGATAAACTTTTTTTAAATTGTACCCTATGGGGAAATTAATTCTCTGCATTTTTCTCATTGCACATGGGCACGCATGTGGGGCGGTGGGCTGGCATCTAGGGTGCCCAAAGGGGGCCGCTGAGGGGGTTGGGGGCCTTGCTCGTGAGCCCAGGGTGGGGCAGGTGTGGGTGGAGGCAGGTGTGGGTGTTGCAGCTTTTTTACCCTCATTTTGATGTTGTTGGTCTGGGGAGATGCTCGGGATCACAGGCCCACCTTCATGCTAATATGTCATTAAACAGAACATGTTGGAAAAATACTGAAGCTTCAAGGATGAGTTAGAGCAAAACCAATGCAAGTGTTGTTATTTTGTGGAGTACATAATATATTTGTGGAATGTAACGTCTCAGTACTACAAAAAATCCAAATACTGCTGTTTTGCAAACATTAGAATCGTTTCTAACTATGCTACCGTGTACTAAACAATTTTTTTTAATACAAAAATGTTAAAGTAAGCACATTTACCCTAACATTTCTTACTGTAAATCATTCTTTGCTTACAACAAACCGCTTTTGTTTGACAGAAAGAACATCATTTTTAAAAGACTACAACTCCCAGCAAGCTTACTTCCGGTTTAATCTCATTCCAGCCAATCAGAGAGCCTCTGCATTTATGGTAGCTGTGAGGGGCACGGGGCCAACGCGTCTAGCCAGCTCGAAGTGCCACGACTTCATAGTAGATCTGGGATCCAGCGGAGTGAGAGGGAGACCACTGAAAAAAGAAAGAAATAAGGAAAAAAGCAAGTTAACCAATCTCCTGGATATATAGGCAGCTTTGTAAAGAAGCTACAAGCGTTTTGCCCTGTCATTTCCTCTCTGAAGCGAACAGACTTGTCACGAGCGCAGTAAGTGTTGGATTCTTGGAAAATTTTATTCATTGAAGCCAGCGTTAGCTAGCTTGGAAAGCTATCAACTGTTAGCCCATGAAATAACCACTAAGTACTGCTAGATCCCAGATTTAAGTTACGTGCAAATATTTAAGACTTGTTCCTTGGTAATTTATTATTTTTTTTTTTTGTCGTTTTTATGGCCGCACAGTTTTATTGCGTAAACAAACTTGGAATGCAGGACATTCTGTCATTGATGATTTTTATTAAGAGTTCACTTTTTCTAGTTGCAAGTGATGAGTTAAAAAGCACATTTCTCATTTTGTTATTTTAATGTAAAACCCTGTGAGGTAAATTTTAGCGTCTTAAATGCAGTCAGCTTAAATAAACAGTCGAGATGTTCTTTAAAACTACTTTTTATCTTAAATAATTTGTGTGTGTGTGTGGGGGGGGGGGGGGGGGGGGGGAGTGTGTTTTTTATATTGTGTTAGCTTCTAGTAATAATGAGACCAGCTGGAAACTATTCAAATTCCTTCTTCCCCCTGCAGGAGAAAAATCCTTGGTTGAAAATCAGGTATTTTAGAGTTTGGAGCTCACCTGTAACACATCTGAAGACAGTTTTGTGAAGCCTGAGATAATTTGTGAGTTTTTCCATTTTATTTTTTCTTTAATTCAGGCCATACTTTGGGTAAAGATGCACTGACGTGTGACACCACAGTTCAGGAGGCCTACAATCCTTTTTTTATACACTACTTTTAGATCCTGCAGTGAGCAGGGAGGGACTCTGGACTCTTGATTACACTAAAATGGCACAATTCTGTTGCTTTAAAACCCTTTATGTTGATTATTTTTACAGAAAGTTATGGTGATCACCAATTATAAACTTAATAAAAGCTATTTCTGCAGGACTAAAGCTTGAAGGGTGTTTTAGTCTCCACAGCTGTCCTCTACTTGCAGCTTTTCCTGCCCTTTAGACTAACATTTGGTTTGTGACAAGAGCTTAAGTTTTTTTTTTTTGTTTTTTTTTACACAGCAGGAAATTAACACCAACTACCAGCCATCCTCTTAAAAAAATGTTGGCTGGTACTTTATGTGCTTTTTTCTTTTCATTCCACTAACGTTTTGCCTGTAACTATTTTCCATGCCTGCAGGGTTTGGTTTTCACTTTTCTTAAACTGATGCAAGCTGTTCAATACTTATTCACAACTGCACGTCAGAAACATTTAGTTTTAAAACTGCCTGCGTTAATGCATCAAGTTATGAATCTTTTTGCTAACGAGCAAAACCACATTTTTTTAAAGGAAAGACCACCCCAAAGAGTATCAGTTTCCATCAATGTGTAAAGAAGCTAAAGTGTTAAATAATGCTCTTTTGCAACCCACACCTTAATCCTAATCTCTCATGTTTCTAAGTTTAGTGCTGAACTTTTATGTTAAGCAGACTGTAAAGCATGATGGGGGATAATTTAGCTGTAGCAACAAACTTAAAAAAAAAAAAAACTTAAATGTAGTCTTGAGCTTCAGCTGATTCTTCCACATGTTTGACAAACTGGACTGTAGTATGTGGCAAGCGGTGATCTAAACTTCTGGGGATAATAGCCCCACCTTGAGGTTGTTTAAAATAAAAGCAATGATACTTCTTTATATGTACAACAAAATAATTTTATTTGCTGCTTTTGTAAAACAACAAATGCGAAAATAATTTCCATAAAGTACAGAAGTTCTTTTAATCTTTTGTTTGTCTTGGGTAGGTATTTTTCAAAGCTCCCTTGAGAAAGAGATCTCGTCATCTCAGTGGGACTCACCTGGTTAAATAAAGATTAAATAAAGAATACCTCATAAAATATTTAGCCTTTTTTAGACATTGATAATTTGGGTTGGTCTGCTTATAGTTGTTGACGACATTCGGTTTATCATGCTGATAAACTGCTCAATTTTCTTCACAGATTTACTGAACTCACACAATGGACATCTACGACCCCCAGACCCTTGGGATAATGGTATTTGGTGGATTCATGGTGATTTCTGCCGTCGGGATCGCCCTCGTCTCCACCTTCTCCATGAAGGAGACCTCCTATGAGGAGGCCCTGGCTAAACAACGCATGGAGTTGGGTAAAATGCAATCTGTTCGTGCCGACAAAAAGAAAAAAGACAAAGTGTCTGAGAAAAAGAACCGTGGGAAGAAGAAAGAAGACAAGCCCAACGGAAAAATCCCAGAACAGGAAAAGGCCGAAGAGGCTGCTGAAGCCGACTCTGAATCTGATGCAGTCACTGAGCCTGCCGCTTCCACAGCAGTCCTTGCTGCTCCTGTTCCTGAGCCTGCCCCTGCTGTTGAAGTTAAACCAGCTGCAGTCCCTGTGGCTGCAGAACCCATCTCTGTCGCAGAGCCCTTGCCCGTGCCCTCACCTAAAGAGAAAAAGAAAAAGAAGGTGGCAAAGGTTGAACCGGCCTCTACTCAGCCTGCTCCTGTTGTCTCTGCTCCTGCACCAATGAAGTCCTCTGCAGCTTCTCTCATAACTCAGAATCCTGTGTCTGCTCCAAACAAAGCAGCCACCTCATCTTCTGCACCAACCTCAGCTAAGCCTGCGCCCGCATCGACCAAGTCTGCTGCTGCTTCAGCCAAGTCTGCTTCCACTCCTTCTCCTGCCCCTGCATCAACCAAGTCTACTTCTGCATCAGCCCCTGCATCAACTAAATCTGCCGCTGCGTCAGCCCCTGCATCAACTAAATCTGCCGGTGCGTCAGCCCCTGCATCAACTAAATCTACTTCTGCGTCAGCCCCTGCATCAACTAAGTCTACTCCTGCCCAAGCCAAATCTTCTGTGTCGACTGCCCCTGCATCAGTTAAATCTGCCACAACCAAATCTGCCCCTGCACCATCCAAGTCTGCTGCAGTCCCATCCAAGTCTGCACCAGCTCCATCCAAGACTGCTCCAGTGCTGGAGGCTGTCACTAAAGATGTCCCGGTGATGGCTGTGCCCCCTGTAGGATCTCAGCAGGCTCCGGCTGTTGTGTCAAAACCACAGGAGCCCAAGAAGAAGGCCTCAAAGAAAAAGGCAGAGCCTGGTAAGCAGATATGTTCTAGAGACAAGTCAATTTAAGTTTATTTCTGCATTTTGAACAATTTACTGCACAGTTATACAAAAATATGTAATTCTCTTTTCATTGTTTGGGGTTTTAAAGTGGTAATTAATTAACAATATTTGAAATGATGTAATGACAAAACCTCAGGAATGGAATAGTTGTTTGGTTAGGACCATTTGTCACCATAGATCTGCTGCTGTTTGTGAATACATCACATCACACTTGTAGTAATTTGTCAACTGTTTCATTATTGCATGCATTCTTTTTACTTTAATTTTAAAGTATTTAATTTATAAATAGTTTCATTCCAAAGTATCTTCCTCAAACTAGAAGCGGTTGTCAAACAAGGAGTCGTATTAGCCACAACACTGATTGTGGGTTTGTTTTTTAAGTTCAGAGTGGAGGCATGCTCACATAGTTGCATAAGCTCAGCAGAAACAACCTGCCAGTAGTGATGTTCCTCCAGCTGTGTATCCACCACTGGCCTTGGCACTACTTGTAATGTCTGGCACTCAGTTCTGGAGGACATAGAGCGCACGGGCTTGTCCAAACACTGCTGGCCTGTTTGGTTAGCTCACAAAGCTTTTCAGTGCCCCTGACAAAGTGGGGAGAGGACGGGTTGACTGTCTCCCTTGCCAGAGGCTCGTCTCCGCCTGGTGCCACAATGCCCCGTCATTTTGCCATCTGAAACCGCTCAGGGTCCCAGACACGAAAGACCCATCTCAATGTTCTTTTCCTCAAGCTTGAGCTGATGCCAGTCCAAAACTTTAACCAGTAGATCTTTTAACTTCTCTTGTTTTTGTGTTTTCCTTTGCAGTGGCAGTGGTGGACTCTGCTGATGCTCCGCTGTACCTGCCCTATAAGGCTCTGGTTTCCACCATCAACACCATGATGTTCAGTGAGGGAGAGGCGCACAGACTCATCGAGATCCTGTCTGAGAAAATCGGCATCATTCAGGAGACCTGGCACAGGGTGCGCATCACCAAACTCAGCAGTTCTGTAGGATCTCAATATAAACTGCTTCAGTTTAAGACTAAAGAAGAGGATCTTTTCCTTTTTTTCTGTCTGCGTGCTATTAGGCCTCTCAGAAAGGAGACCCAGTGGCCATGCTGAAAAAACAGCTGGAGGAGAAGGAGAAACAGCTGGCAGTAGAACAAGAGGATTCTTCTGCAGTTAAGAACCGTCTCAGAGAGCTCACGAAGGTTAGACATACAAGTCTCAAAGCTTAAATATGTGCCTAAGCACATTGTCCTGTCTTTACTGTTCTGTAATTGTAAGTTTTAGTGATTAAAAACGATTTACAGTAGTTTGCAGCAGAGGAGAAAAACTTTCTACCTGAATTAAATAATTCTTCTCTAGAGTTCAGTTTAATATTTTGTCCTGAAGATGGCACTAGAATCAAGCATTCAAGATGACTCAATGCAATAAACAACTTCAAAAGAAGCATAAAGGGCTTAGGGGTTCCCAACCCTGGTCCTTGAGGAACACCATCCTGCACATTTTAGTTGTTTCTCTGCTCCAACACACCTGATTTGTGGTTTAATTGCTTCCTTAAGTTCAGCAGAAACCTGTTAATCACCCTTTCATTCAAATCAGGTGTGTTGGAGCAGAGGAACAACTAAAACATGCAGGATGGCATTCCTCAGGGACCAGGGTTGGGCACCACTGGTTTACTAAGCCAGTGCATATAAAGAACTTTAACTAAAAGGCCGAGTTGTCATCATTTATAGGCCTGTCGTGATAATAAATCAATTAATCGCATGATAAATGAAAAGTATCGACCTCGTTTTCATTTATCGGCTTTATCGTTTCTTCGTGTCTCTCCTTCTATTGAAGACACTGGATGACAAAAGGCTCAGCTCCGATGCTCTTCACTGACTCCTCCCTTTCTCTTTTCTCTTTAAAACCCGTTTTAACCGTCCATAGTTTCGTTTTTGGATCATTACAAGCAGCTAAGCTGAGAAGCTAAGCTAACAGGCCAACCTCAGGAAAAAAACCTCCGTCTTGTCGAAGCTCCAAAATTCACGGTTGAAACCCGTGCCTTCGTGTAAAAAGTTGTTTTTCTCTGCAAAAAGAAGCTGAGAACTTGTTTACTGGTTGTTTTTTTTAAAAATTAAAAGCTTTGTGTGAGAAATGCTATGCTAAAGAGCTCAAACCACACCGAGCGTCCACCATTTTGAGAACCGAAAAAAAGGAGACAGCCCATGTCACGTCAAGGGGCCTCCCTCCCATTTTTCTTAAACACGCTGCTTGCTCCCTCACTATCCATCCTTCAGTTCAAACAATCTCATACTGCCATCAAAAGAGGTACTACACTCAAAACAAATGAACGCACTTCTTCTTAAATTTGACAATAATTACTAATTGTCAAATTTCATACATTATTATCGTTTATCGCAATAATTTCTGAGACAATTAATCGCCCAGAAAAATTTGTTGTCGTGACAGGCCTACATTTAATCTTATTCCTGTCCTGAACTGGGGGTTGTCTAAAAGTTGTGGCACCAAAGGTCTAAGCCGCAGTATCTTCAAAAAAAAAATTTGCTGTGATTATTGTAACCAAGATATTTCTCTTTAAAGTGGCTTTTTGGCCACTGAAGCATCACAGTGAGCCTGAACGAATCTGACTAGTTTGTTTTCTTAGGAGCTGTCTGCTGAGAAGTCCAAAGTTGCCAGTGTGGAGACTAGACTGAGTTCTCAGCTGAGTAAGAGGGAACAAGAAATGATTGCTCTGCAAGCTCGTATGCAGGCCAGTTACCAGGACCATGTAGCTCAGACCCAGAGGCTCAATGCAAAGGTCAGTTTTATACACATTACAGTTTAATTACACGTTGGTGGTTTTCTGTCAGCGTTTTCTTTGCATGCTTTCCCTGCTGGCTCAGCTAGCTTTATTGTTTTCCTTCGCTAAAGTATATTCGTTTGCAAACATTTAAGAATGTCAACCGCACAGTAAACAAGTCTTTATTTATTAATATCACAAATCAGATCCTGAGCCTGCAGGACCAGCTGGAAAAAGGCCCCAATGCTCAACTTGCACGTCTGCAACAGGAGAACACAATCCTGCGCGATGCTCTGAACCAAGCTACCAGTCAAGCTGAGAGCAAGTGAGTGCAGTAACTGATTGATGGTGGCGTGCGCGCTATTTCTTTATATGAAGCTGTAAACACTTTTACTATTTTTCGGTGAGGTATCTGACTCTGGTTTGTCTTTTTCACTCTGCTTCCAGGCAAAATGCAGAGCTGGCCAAGCTGCGACAGGAATCTGCAAAGTTGACCAAAGAGCTTGGAGAGAAGACTGAAAGTCTGCTTGCTGATGAGCGCGTCAGGAAAGGGCTGGAGGCCAAGCTCTCCGCTGCTGAGAAGCAGCTCTCCCTGCTGCAGGTTGGCCCGGCCTGTGGGAACTCCACATCTTTATAATAAATTACACGAGACACGGTCAAGTTTCCATATGGAAGCACATTTGCTTTGCCTGTTTTGTACTTTCAGTCCAGTGTCTTGTTTCAGCAGTCGTTCAGTTATGGAATGCAAACAAAATGCAAGCCATTCCCACTTCTTCCCTGACCTCCTTAAGTTATGGGAAATATAATTGCTGCAGTAAAGCCATATAATGATACGGCTGCCGGGAAAATGCTTCTCCACACCAGCTGGGATGAACGTGTGAATCAGAGCGTCTACTCTCCAGTTGACTGTAGAAGTACAGGAAGCGTTTTTTTAAACACGTGGCTAACGGAACGGAAGCACAATTAATTAGTTCTTCTGTGCTGTCGCTCACTGATGGATGCTGTTTTTCTGAACTGTTACTGGTTATTTAGGAAAACATAGTTGGCACTTCTGACAACTTGCTTTGTGTAATTATTTACTTAAAGCCCTTTAAAGTTTTTGAGGATGGTATAAATTGTTACATATCAGAACTTTGTAGATGATGAAAGGATTTGTGCATGACCATCAACATTTTCTCATTCAGATCACTTCTTGCAAGACGCGTCAGTTAAAATGTTTTTGCTGTGCGAACTCCTCTTGAAAGCGTGCTTCAGTTGTTTGTTGGATGTTTGCTGCCTCCTGCTGTCTGACGCTCTTTAAACGAATCTCTTCAGGCCAGCCGTGCAGAAAGTGAGCAGTCCTTACAGAAAAGATTGGAGGACGTGTGCGAGGAGCTCAGAACTACGCAGACCAAAAACAACAGCCTGCAGGCTACTTTGGAGAAGGTCCAAAAGGACAGCGGCTCAATCTCAGGTTAGGAAACGGGGGAACGGGGTCCTACAGGTTATCAGGTGTGAAGGCACGGACCTCATCTGAGCTGGTCTACAAGTAAAACTTGAAACTGTAGTTTTGCTCTTTAATTATAATCGGTTCAGATTATTGTGTGAACGTTTATGAAGCATTCACTCTATTGTGATCCATTTTTCTTGCATATGATTTTTGGCTCGATTCTCATCCCGCAGTTTTTAAGCTATTTCAAAAAATCTTAAATCAAAACGTTCAGCTCTTTCAGGACAATCCTGCTATGACTTTTGGTTTTGGTGCAACTTTAGCTTTTTGAAACATTTAGCCTTTTCTGCCATTTTTTTCCTCATAGAAAATGAATTGAGCTCATTTTACATCCTTCAGATCTTTAGATGTGTTTACAACCTTTTACTGCTCCTTTCACATTTTGTTCTGGTTCAGCTTCTTTCCTTGTGCAAATTTAAATATTTTTCAGCTAATTTCAGCTGTTTTTCAGCTGTTTTGTGCTCCTTTCAGATTCTTTCTACTAACTACAACATTTTTGTGCTTCTTCCAACTTCTTGCTGCTAATTTCAGCTTCTTATGCTCCTTTCATCTTATTTCTGCAAGTTTCAGCTTTTTCTACTATTTCAGCTACTGTATAGCTGTTTTATACTAATTTAAGCTTTTTCTGCTAATTCTACATTTTTTGCACTCATTTCAACTTTTTGCCACCTAATTCAGCAAAAATGTGCTCGCTCCACTTCCTACTCGTAATTTCAGCTTCTTTCTGATTTTTTAGCTACATTTCAGCTGTTTTTGTTTTTGCTAATTTTAGGTATTTCCACTTTTTTGTGCTCATTTCTACTTCTTTCAGCAAACGTGTTCTTTCTGCTTTCTTCTGCCAATTCTGCTTGTTCTACTTTTTCAGCTGTTCTTTTTAGCTGTGGTAATTTCAGCTGTTCAGAAAAAAATCAAGTATTTTATGATAATTTTTGTTACTTTCAACATAATTTACTTATTTCTGCTAACGTCAGCTTATGTTACTTTCAGATTTTTTTCTGCTAGTTTTAGCTTTTTCTACTATTTCAGCTACTTTTGAGCTTTTTTTGTGTTAAATTTAGCTTTTTCAGCTAATTCCACATTTGTAGCTTATTTTAGCTCCTTCCACTTACGTCTGGTAGTTTAAGCTTCTTTCTGCCTTTTCAGCCTTTTTATTTTTTCAGCAATTTTTTAGCTAATTTCAGCTATTTTAGCTAATTTCCTAATTTTTGTGCTAATTTCTGCTTATCTAAACCTAATTCATCAAATATGTGTTCTTTCCGCTTTATTCTGCTAACTTTGGCTTGTTCTTCCATTTCAGCTACATTTCAGCATGTTTTTAGCCAAGTTCAGCTGTTTCTCAACAAGTTTTTCAGCAATAAACATTCACACTGCATTTTTGCAGGAAATGCAATTTCTCTAGTTAAATTGTTTCGTTTAAGAGAAACCGTCATCTCAAGGCACGGTATAAAAGGCCAAACTAGTTTAAATCCTAAGTCCAATGCAGATCCAGATTCTAATCCAATTACAATCTTTCCTAATATAAAACAATGCATTCATGTACAGTTCATTATGAAATGCCAAAAAGCAAAAGAATCTAAGAAAGCCAGCAGATGGCACCATAAGAAACTAAAGTTGTTTTTTTATGTGCGTTATATCGCACTTGTCTGAAATCATGGAATGGATCGTGTATTTTTCCACAGAGTATCAAGTGCGAACAGAGCGACTGGAGGCTGAGGTCGCGGAGCGTTCTGCTCGGGTGGATGCCCTCACCTCCCAGCTGGAGGAGACGCGAGCAGAGAAGAGTCAGCTTGAACAGCAAGTGGCCTCGATCAACTCGCTGTTGGAGGCCAGTCAGAGCAAAACAGAGGAGGAAAACATTCAGGTGAAACATTTATTTCTTGTTTACTCAGAAACATATAGTCAGGCCTAACTGCGCTTATTGTTGTTCAGAAGGCGAACGCAGCAGAAGTGGAACATCTAAAGCTCCGGTAAGCATTTATCGACTTTGACAGTGCCGGATGAAGTGCGGTTTGCTTTGCTAATTTAACCACGCCGCTCTTTTTACAGCGTTCAAGAGAAAGACGGCCAGCTGAACGCGCTTCATGAAGAAGTGACGCAGCTGCAGACAAAGCAGGAAGCCGCTGTAAGTTTTACAAGCATCTATTTTTAGGTCTGCTGTTAAACGCTATCACTTGGTGTGTAGCTTATGCCACATCTGTTCCTGTTAATCTGAGAGAAACTATTTTAAACTCTTAAAAGGAGAACACCATCACTGAACTTCAGCAGCAAAATAAGAGGTAAGCTGCTTTCTATTCTTTATGCATGTTGCTTTTTTTTTGGGATCAATTTCTGTTAACTTGTAATATCCTGATTTATTGGCTTATAGTGAGGATGCAAGCCTCATCACTTCGCTTCAGAATGAACTTAAAAATCTCAAAGAGGAGATGGTGCAACTTAAAAACACACCAGTAAGCAATGCTCTGATATGATGCATGATTCCACTTTTCTAAACAGTCCTGCAACGCAATAATTCTATAAAATATTTATATTTCCTTTTTCTTCAACAGTCGGATAGCTCTGCAGATCTTACACTACTAGAAAACAGGTAAAACACGTCAGTTTGCACACTTGAGGGGCTGGGAAACGAGAGTTTTGTGCATACGAGTGTGAAAAGGCGTTTGTTTTTGCTGCTGTTTAGTGTGGCTGAGAAGGATGCTCTGGTGACATCACTACAAGAGGAGCTGAGGGAAGCGAAAGAAAAGATGTCAGCAGATGATGTATGTTTTTACAGCGTGCGCACTCTTTAAAAACCGTTTGCTGTTCGTCTGTGCGTTGACGGTGTCACCTTTTGCTGTAACAGACTCGTTTGGCGCAGCTGGCAGCTTTTCAGACTGAAACCAAAGAAACTCTTGAGTCGCTCTTCCCAAAGATGCTAGTAGAGACTGAGCAGGTAAGAACATTTAATTTTAATTTAATGGGGAGAAATGGCTCGTTTGAGTGCAGCTCTGCTGATGATCATCGTCATCTAATCCAGATGTGGGCAATATGTGGCTCGAGGATCAAAAGTGGCCCTTAGACAATCTGTCTGGCCCCCTTTATTAATTAAAAAGTGAACAATTTTTAAACAAGTTGATTAAGTTTGCATTTTTATAATAAAATATAAGAAAGTCTAAATCAAGCATCTTGCGTAAGAAACCTTTGAACTGAGAAAGGCTAAAACTTCTTTAAAGTCGTCATGTTTCCATAACTACACTGATCCTTAAAGACTCCAAAAAGCAACTATACAATTTTTTTATTTTGCATATTTAAGCTAAAAAATATATATATATAAAGCCACAAGAGCCAGTTTACAGAAAATAAGACTTGTAATCCTGAAGATTATTGGGGAAACGTATTTTTATCAAACATGCTAACGATGCTACAAGAAAACACTACAAAAAGTCTTCCAGATTAACTGCCTTGAAGAAAAAAAAATTTTTTCAATTCTCTTTGCGTCCCTCTGATCAAATATCTCGATTTGGCCTTCTGGAAATAAATGTTGCCCACCTCTGATCTAATCCCTCCATGTTTGTGTTTCTCTTCGCTCAGTCCGACTGGTTACAAGTGTTTACACAGAAAGCCCAGGAGTCCCTCAGCCAGCAGCGTCAAGAGGCTCAGTCGAGTTCGCAGCTGACGGTGAGCTTCGTTTCTCTTCTGTCAATATGAACAAGCCTCATGGAAGCTTTCATTCGTGTTTGGTTTGTTTCAGGAGTTACTTGGGAAACTGAAAGAAGCGGAGGAGAGTCACGGCTCCCTGCAGGCCGAATGTGAGCAGTACAGGACCGTCTTGGCTGAAACTGTGAGTGGCTGAAATCAAACAGAGGTAGCAGATTTCAAGAAAAGTTTACAGGCCTTGATACATTTTTTTAAATTCCTCTTCAGGAGGGAATGCTGAAGCATCTGCAGAAAAGTGTGGAGGAGGAAGAGTTGGTGTGGAAGTCAAAGATGGCGAACTCAGAAGAACAGTTAAACGAGGCAAGAAGTCACAAGGATTTAAGAACGTCTTCATTTATCCTTTATATTATTAAACCTCAATGATGTTTTGTGTCCAGGCTTTGCAGAAAGTCAGCAAGCTGGAAGCAGACAACCAAAGTATAGGACAAGTGAGTTTTCACACTTTAAATCGACTAGAGCGGGGGTGCCCAATACGTCCATCGCCATCTACCGGTCGATCGCAAAGGCGTTGTATCATCCATCCTCACTATGAGACGGCCCTCATTCTCTCAAACCAGGTCTCAGAGTGGAGATTTTCACGGGGAAATAATCATATTTATCCATATTTACCCCCTCCACCCACCCCGTGAAATTCTCCATGTGTGAAGTCGCACATGTGCACTCCAGGCGGCTGCAGTCCAAAGTTTTCCTGCTCTAACAACAGTTATAATAAACGGCAGAGAGCAGAGTGTTTTTGTGCTGCTCACCCTTTTTTCAGCATTTAGGAGCAAAACTGATCAACTCCAGGGTCAAAAGAGATGGTGGTGCATTCATCAGTTTCGAAGTAACTGTCACAAGACGCTGCATGCGCAATGAATGCAGCTGACCCGGCATCGGGGTTGCCAGATAAATTTAAAATGTCTTAATTACCCACTCATTTTCTGTACACGTGTTCAACAAACGCAACACACACCTCATCTTAGAATATCTTTACTCAGCACATGTGACAGTTTAGGTCAAAATACTATCATTTTAAAGTGACAGGAATATAGTTCAAAATTTCTTATCTGGCAACCCAACTGACATGGAAACTACAGCGTTTTTCGTGTAAACCCACTCTTTTTTTGTTTAATATACTCAATAACCATAGAAAAAACACAAATGTTTCCAGAGGATGTTCTTGTGTAAACGGGGCCTTATAGAGCACTCTGACTTGGTCATTTTAAAAGCAACTTTCATGGTCAAAAGGTGTGGGCACCCCGGAACTAGAGGTAGTCTGCTAGTGTAAAGCTGTGAAAACATTTTTCTGCAGCTGAAGGAGCAGATGATGCTTCTGGAAGCCCAGCTGGAGAAGCAGACAGACAGCCTGGTGATCTCAGAAAACTTGGAGCAGGTACACGATCAGTAACGTCAATAAAATGATTGTATAGGGAGGGGACCTCAGATTTAGTAGTTTGGGGTTTATAAAATTCTCCAAAAACATTTGATATATTTAAATGAACCAACATGTTTTGTTGCATTTCCAACAATTTGTGTCCAACATGTGTTCTTGTTCATGCTCAGCTAAAGCTGCAGCTGTCAGAGTGTCAGCGCCAGCTGCAGGCAGCCCAGAAGGAGGCCCACGTACACAAGGAGGAGCTGGAACAGGTGAGTTATCCGTACAGCAAATTCCACACGGGAGGGAGGGACTGGGAGAGGAATGTGTGTTATTTATGACATGCCATGTGGGAGGGACTTTCAGTCTTTTTGACTTCACAAGGTGTCAGTGATGTGTAAGCAGAGCGGGCATTCTTAGACGGGTCGTTGCATAACCAGTGACTAGCGACGACTTCCTGTTTCAGGTCAGAGAGCAGCTGGGTGAGATCACGAAGCGGACTCAAGGAGAGCAGAACGGCCCAGCTGAGGCTGAACCCAGTCAGGTCAGGGTGTGAGGATCGCAGGACTCCCCTTCACTTCCTGTCAGAAAGTACCCGACAGTGACTGGAACAGCTCTTTAGCCCTTCTTTTATTTAAATGATTATTTAAACCTTCAACCTAACCTGGTTTTATTTAAAAGAAAGAGACCTCTGTCACAGTTTCGGTTTGATTCAGGTTCAGAGCGCAGTCTGGTTAAAGCCGTGTCCTGAATGATGCGGCTGCAGAACACAAACCAGATGGCCTTTAGAACGATCGAGTTGCATTTCCAGTCTGTCCAGTACTCCTCTGACAAAGTGGCCCGTCGTGCTAACCACTGTTTGCACAGTCCAGTAGACCTAACTCTCATCCCTACTGTTTCTCAGCATGTTCACCTTTTTTTTCTTAATAAACCAGATGTTTACATACTGTATAAAAAGAGACAAACTTTTTTTATTCGCAGTGTCTGACATTAAATCAGGCTAAACCTTCCCTGTTTTACATCAGTTAGAATGAACAAAATCGTTCCCATTTGCTAAATGCCTGAATAATATATTGTTTGTTAGAGATTTTTTTTAAATTCAAAGCTCAGATGATGATGTCATAGATTTGGAAGTGTTTGATAGATTAGTTGTCATTTGAGTTGATTGGAGGTGCACCTCACACTGTCTGGCATCGTGGGAAAATCTAAAGTAATCAACCAATATGGGAGTGGTTGCGCAGAGGTTAGAGAGGTGGGCTTGTGATCCGAAGATCGCCGGTTCACGCCCCAGCCCCAACATCAAAATTGTGGGTGGGGTAGGTGAAACACCCACACTTGCCTCCACCCTCATTCGCCCCACTCTGGGCCCATGAGCAAGGCCCCTAACCCCCACCTTGTGCTCCCTAAACAGGTCTCTCTTGAAAATGAGTTATCGTGGCTCAATGAGACTAACCTGGATAAATAAAGGCTAAATGAAAAAAAAAAAAAAAAAATATATATATATATATATATATATATATATTTGGTTCTGCTTCATCTTTGGGTGTAATCTCCAGAACACGTCATGTTCATCTATTCCAGATGTGGGCAACTGAAGGCCCGAGGGCCAAAAGCGGCCCTTTGCAGAGCGGACATTTGCCATCAGGCCCCCAATATCCTTGGTTTAAAAAAACAACAAAACAAAGATTTATTGAAAAAAATAATAATAATTTAAATCAAACATCTTACGCAAAACTTTTTTTTTAACGTTTTTTTTAAGTCATTGTTTCCAGAACTAAACTGAAGACTTAAAAATACAAATGTAAAACTTTGCTTTGCATATTTCTGCTAACGTGTATAATATATTGACACAAAAGACAGTTTACAGAATGTCTAATATTCCTAAAGGATACTGAACGTTTTATAAAACATGCCAACTATACTACAACAAGAAAAAGCTTGAAACGGTCTTCTAAATCTGTTATGAAGAAAACAAAATCCAATTCTCTATATGGCTCTTTGATTGCTTTAAACGTCTTGAGGTGGCCCTTGGAGAAAAAAATGTTGCCTCCCTCTGATCAGTTGTAACGATTCTAGGAATGTCTCACCATCAAACCACTCAGGAGGAAGACCAGTTCTGTGTTCCCCAGATGAACGTGTTTTGGTCTGAAATGTGCGTATAAACCTCAAAACAAAAGATCTTGTGAAGATGCTGGTAAGAGCCTCATTACAAAACGAGTCCTGCACCACTTTGTGAAGAAGTCATTATAATAAAAAAACAGATTAGAGTTTGCACATGAGGACTAGAGGTTGAACGACTACATGATTTTTAAACTCGACATTAACATAATAGAACTCGAGTAGTTGACGTCATAGGATCTCAAGATGCAAAAATAAATAAATAAATAAAACTGCAAAAAAACGTCATTTATTATTTACAAAAAAAAGACCAACAAAACATTAGAGTATATTATGCTTCTACCATTTATCATACTGCAAATAAGTCACAGGAAAACCAAAACTATTAGTTATTATTATTATTATTATTATTATTATTATTAAGCTGCAAAAGTGAAAGAAATGTGCGGCACGTAAAACACAAAGCTAAAAACAGTGGGGCGGACGACCACCCTGCACCACCGCCCGCAGTGTTGCACTTTAGGTTTAGTTTTAGAGATTAATATGTTTATAGGTTTTTTTTATAGGTTTAGAGATTAATATTTTTTGCTTTTTGTTTGTGAAACGAGTTCAGAGGAAGCTGGTTCTGGTTCAGTCGATTGGACCCAGTGTTGCACCATATTCTGTGACCTGCAACAGTGCATGCAACACCGCCCCCTACGGTCACAATATACGGCGGTCACAGAATATGGTGTAACACCGGTTCGCAACGAGCTCCAAACAGTCAGGAAGTTGATTCATTTTCTGTTTCCTTACGGTAGTTGAACCGGAAGATTCATCTTTAGTGAAATATTTTCACACTACTGATGTATTTCTACCGGTTTGTCAAGACTGGGACTGCTCCGCTCAGTCCGTCTGCTTGGAGGAATCCATTTTATAGCCCGCGCCCAGTGCGGATCACGTGAAGTAACGGCGACATAATGGCGTCACTACGAATACTCGACGTGAAATTTAAAAACTCGAGAGATGTCCTAGGAGTCTGTTAAAACTCTGAGGACAAAGACCTTAATGTTAGGACACGCATCCTGTGGTCTGATGGAAATAAAGTTGAACTATTTGGCCATGACAACAATTATATTTGAGGAAAAAGACGAAAGCTTGCAAGCCTGGAAACATCCCAACTGTGAAGCATGGGGGTGGCAGCATCATGTCGTGGGGGTGTTTTCCTGCTGGAAGAACTGCTACACTTACCGTATTTTTCAGATTATAAGGCGCATTAAGCGAAACAAAACAGTCAGCTAAGTCAAACTTTATTCAACTCGTTCACAGTAACCACATAAAATCAGTTCGAGCACAACCAGAAGTCACACATAAAGCTAACGGTTGATTTTAGAGAAAAAAGGATTTTAAGTGCGCCTTATTGTCCAAAAAATACGTTAATAAAAACCGATGGCTTCGTGAGGAAAGAACATGCATCAATATTGAAGCAACACAAGACATCAGCCAGGAAGTTGCTGCTTGGGTCAAACGGACAAAGACTCTGCGTGTTGCCGTTGGTTACAAAGTGGCTTAAGGACAAAGTGTTTTTGAGTGGGCGTCGCAAAGCTCTCATCTCACTTCCTTAGAGAAAACATGCAGAAGCAAAAAGGGGTGTGCGAGCAAGACGGCCTACAAACCTGACTCACTCACTGTTCTGTCAGAAAGGACACATTTGACCCAAGTCGTACAATTTTGTACTCGATGCTGCTAAAAACTTGTGGCTTTAAAGAAAACATTACGTGGCATTATTTGGATAAACAGTTGTTTATACGGTGTATGTAAACATCTGGTTTCACCTGCATTTGTTTAAGTTATTAACAGAATAAATAAAAAAAACTGAGGAACTGTCTGAATTTCATTGTAAAAGTTGTGAAAGGAAACTAACCAGACTGGTTGAATACTGTAAATGTGTGGGTGTGTGCTCGCGTCTGGTGCTGACACGTGATCGCGTGTATTTACGGCGTTTTGTCTGCTGGCAGGTTCAGAACGAGCTGAGTCAGATGACGGAGAAGCTGCACGGGGAGGCAACTCAGAGGCAGCAGCTCTCAGAGGAGTTTGAGCAGGTAGCAGAGTGTTTCACTGTTTAGGGTCACTAAGATGCTCTCGGGCAGAAAAAGGTAAAAGCATGTTGTTGCCTTGTTGTCAGGCCCAGAAGACTGTAGCAGACCTTCAAGCCCAGCTGGATCTCCTAAAGGTTTCTGCAGAGTCATCACAATCGGACACCGAAGACGTAGCTCAGCTCAAGGTGTGTTAATGAGCAGATTTTGTTTTCAGTGCTCTAGGTGCTAAAGTGACTTTTACGAAGGCTCCTCAAAGTTTAGTCTGCACATATTCAAGGTTCTTTATTGTCATTCGCATCACATGTGGTACATGAGGTGGAAAGAAACCTTCTAATCCCGGCTCTTTCAAACTTTGACCAAAACGAACATAAAACTGAATTTTATTGGTCGTTATAACAACGAACGACTAGTTTTAGCAGCTTTCCTGTCATTTCTTTTGCCAATATGTGAACACTGGAATAACTACAAGGAGTAAAACATATTCACTTTAACTTTGTTTTATTTCTATACTTACTTTTTCCACAATAAAAAAAATACACAGGTCCGCATAATTCAGTTTTTATTATTTAAAAAAAAAATCGACCCCCCCCCCCCCCCACACAAGAATCTGGTCTTTTCATTTGTCTTAAATTGTAAAAATATCAATAAATGTAAAAAATCTTTAGATATTTTGAGCTTTATAATGTCACCCCCTAGCGGCCGCAAAAATCCCCTCCAACAAACCTGAAGTGGCCCATGGGCCACCAGTTGATAATCACAGTCGTATCAGGTTGTTGTGGCTCTGAACACTTAATTTAGTGAACGAAGACATAAAAATGGCTCTTGATCGTAAACGTTGCAGACCCCTGCAGTAGACTGAGGAACAGCTTCTACCCTGAAGCTGTTCAGACTCATAAACCCCTAACCGCTGCAGAGGGACCAAAGACGCAGGCTGCAGACCCCTGGTCTAGTGGTTCTGCACTTAATGCTCCTCAACCTCCTGCCTGAGGGGAACGGGGCAAAAAGTGTGTGCTGGGTGAGTGTGGTCCTTCATGATGCAGGTGGCCCTCTTCCTGCATCTGGAGGTGTAGATGTCTGATGGTGGGGAGGCTGACTCCAACAGACTTCTGTGCAGCCTTCACCACTCTCCAGCTGTGCAGCCTCCGTGCCACATGTTGATGCTGGAGCTCTGCATTGCAGAAATATGATCATATTTATGCAGTGGTGGATTTTGTTGTAGGTAAAATGTAGAACATTTTCCCCTAAAATAAATAATAAAAATCTCACTAAGCTCTCAAGAATCAAATCTTTAAAGATCAGAAAGTTTTTTTTTTTGTCTCCCCACTACTGTTAAATTATAAGTTATGTTTGATCAGTTGGTCTAAATTTGTCCTAGGAACTCACCTCAGCCGTTACTAGATTATATTGGTTTCAGTAAAGGTGAAAAACTGTTTTAAAAGAAGTTTTCTAAATGTAACGTTCCTTGAAAGAATGCGTGTTGACCACCAAGTTTTAAACAAAGATCCAGCACGATCCATTAGTGCTCAGTATGTGATTGGATCTACCACCACACCTAGTTGTGGCTATTTCATCCATTTATACGGATGCTGTGTTCTAAAGTCAGTTGGCCGTGGCAGCCATCTTGAATTGGGTTGGCTCCAAAATTAATCAGTTGTAGATATACAGTACATCCAAGTTTTTTTTAAGCCACTGTTTCATGAAATGCATAACTGTCTGAACATAATAAAAATATTTCCGAGGGTTCGTTTTCTTGCAGAACGCGTCACCTCTTTGTTTATTTAGAGAGTCTCGACTTTGTTCTTTCGAAGTCACGTTTGTTTTCCCGCTGCTCAAACAGGAGCGCCTGGAGAAGGAGAAGAAGCTGTCCGGAGATCTGGGCCAAGCAGCCACGAAGCTGCAGCAGCTTCTGAAAGCCACTCAGGAACAGCTGACCAAAGAGCGGGAGACCATGAGGACACTACAGGAGCACTTGGAGGTCAAGGTGGGTCCACCGATCAGGGGTGAGGCGACACGCTTGTCTTCATCTGAACTCATGTCTCTTTTTATCCCAATTTGTGTTTAAGGGAGAGTACGTGGAGTTGAAGGAAGGGACGTCCGTCTGAGACAAAGTTCAGCGGAGACACTACAAACTGCCAAATATGCCTTATATAATTATGCATTCCAATATTTTCTTTTTTTTTTTGCATTTGTTGCAACTTTTGGGATCAAATATCGTGTAATTAACATTTCAGTTAAAATCATGCTGCAATCTTTATTGAAACTCACATTCCAGCTATTCTGAAGTTACTTACCCCTTTGCCTTATTCCCAGCATTCCTCCATAGTTCAGTGTTAAAAGGGAAAAGTGAATGTGCGTCCAACGTGCATCAACCTGTGCAATTACTTCGTATGTCTTTTCTATGTGGTTGAATGATGGGAGCATTTTGTGGTTTATTGGAGGGCCTGATAACACAAACCTGTATGAATGAATAAACTACAGTAGCACTAAGTAATCGGAGTGTTTCTTTGTCCAAGGTGGAGCTCCAAGGTATCGGCTAAGTTAGTGTTGACACAGTTTAAGATCCGGTGTGAGAGCAAAGCTGCGACACCTGTACAGAACAGCTTCCTGAAGACAGAACAGTTGAGTCAAAACGTACTACGTAGTTCAAAGTTGCACTTCCTGTCAGCGTGGATAGCCATATTAGGGAAAAGAAACTGCTGCAGCTCTGACAGGAAGTATTGCTACACAGCGATGTTCTTTCAGATTTGTTCTGCACGTTGCACTGAAATTAAGTCAGTTTCCTGTTTAAACTTGCATTTAATGTTTTACACTTCACACATCTTATGTTGGTTTGAAGTGAACCTCAGGGAAAATAACCCAGCTATCGTGAGGATTTAATGAAGCTGTATTTGCAAACTGAAGCCTAGTTTGTGTAAAGATGCTTCAGAACTGTTCTGCTCCAAATCAAACTGATCCACTTTGATTCAAGCCAAATTAAGGTACCGGCACAATGCAGAACCACAACTATGAGTTCCATAAGCCTCCGATATACAAATTACTGCCCCCACCTTCCAACTGAACAGTTTGAAGTGGGAATAGTAGACAGTCTCCCTGAAGGCAGCTTGAGTTTAGCTTTTAAAATAGTCATGACAAGTCTTTACCTAAAAGTATCCAGCCATCTTTACCAGTTTCTGATCATGACAGTCCCATGTCCAGTCACTGCAAGAGGCGGGGGCAACCTGTCCATCACAGGGACACAATCACTCACACCTAGGGACAATTTAGAGCAGGGCTATTCAAACCTACTCAAGGGACGTTCCTGAAAGCCTGTAGCTCGGGATAGACATCCAGTTAAATAATTTAACCAGTTTAGTGATCTTTTTTAATTTTATTGCACTGAATAAAACGCAACAAAACCTACCCCCCCCCCCCCCCCCAAAAAAAAAAAAAAAAAATTTAAGTGAGCCAGATTGAAGTCGCCCGCGAGCTGCCAGTTGAATAGCCCCGATTTTGAGTTGCCAATCAGCCCAACATGCATATTTTTGTCTGAAGGAAACTGGAGATCTAGGTACCAAATCCAATAATGCTCAGTCAGGTCATCTGGAGTTTTTTGTAGAGATGTTTCGCCCTCCATCCAGATTATTGGATTTGGTACCTGGATGAGCATGAACTTTGCCTTGGACCACGTTGGCTGCCTGGAAGGAGTCGACAGGAGAGCCCCCCAGAAACCAATTTTATCTCCAGCAACTGGTTGGTCCACTTGTATACTGCTTGGTGGGGAAACTGTTCACTTCAGACTGAAGCCCTCCAGATAAAGGGTGAAATGTACCAAAAAAATATATAAAAATGAAACCTTCCAGATAGGTTCCTGGACTGGGATTTTAACTGGGGCAACCTGCTCACTGAGGCGCTGCAGCTTTACCACCATGCTGTAAACTTAACTGCTGTTAACAAAAAGACATTTGCAGCCATTTAAAAACCAGAGTTGCTCACTCTTAGGGAGTATTCAGCTCGTCTATTCTACCTCTCCAATCAGTGTAAGGATCTGTCAAGTTCATCCTACAAGAAATTCAGGTCTCTCTTGTAAAGTAAAGTCCTCGAGGCTCAATGGAATTTACCCGTCTAAGGTGGAATGAAAAATTCTTCAAACCATCAAGAAAAGTAAAAATACAAAATGGTATCGTTTCAGTTACTTTATTTGACATTTATCTGCCATTACAGGGAATCCTCCAGTTGAAGTTTCACTTTTCCAGACATCTCTTAGAAAAAAAAAGTGTAACAGTCTAGGAAATACAGATTTTGAAGTCCAGGCACGTTCATTTTTATTAAGTGTAAGGGTACGAGAAGATGCAGGAATTCAATCCATATGTACACAAAAGCAAATTACGGATCAAACGAATCTAAATGTGCTAGTGAAGTGACATTGATTTGCACACAAAAATTTGAATATGAAAGGGCTACTAGAGGGGGTTTGTGTGCCTGGAATGCAAAAAATCAGTTTTATATAATCGTTAGCATTTTGGGAGGGGACATTGCCAGGATCCGCAATTTGAAACAAATTATAGTTTGACCCGATTCAGATACGACAGCCTTCAAGGGTGGTGACATTTGACCCCATTTTGGATGCAAATAGCTCCCTGCTTCCATAATCTGAAAGGTCGTTCATCTGCAGCTCGTGTTTGATGCCTGTGAGGAGAAGAGGGAACAGTTCAAACCCAAAAGTGTCAATTTACATATTGGAAAAGTAATTATTAGTAGAATCTCCAAAAATAGAAGCCCACACATACCCGTCATGACCTTCTTAAGAGAATCTTTAGAGCTAGCATACTGCATTTTTGCCTTGATGGGTGCAGCTTCAGAAGCCCTGACAACGAGAAGTCATTTCACTGCCCACTCAAGCATTTGTTTTATTTAACCAATTTGCAATTTTTAATTTTCTCCAAAGATTCAAAGTAGAAGGATGGAAACTTACCACATCACAAACACCAACTCTTCCTTCTTGCCCGTCTCCTTGGTCTCGTAGTGGCAGTCGTACAGCAGGTAGCGGCACAGTTTCACGTCCAGCAGACTCAGGAAGAACATGAAGACGTCTTGGTCGGCTGCGAAATCTTTTTGCCGGAAGGTTTTATCTATCGTAATGAAGCCTTCAGCGATTTCGAAGGTGACGAGCCTGAGCCGCTCATTTGTGTCGGCGTCATTTTTCACCACTTTCATTTGGTTGATGATGTCCTTCACCTCCTCGCTTACTTTCACTCCAGAGGCCTGGGGGGAAAAACAAAAATTTGGTGTGAAAACACTCGTTTCCCCTCCCCCCAAAACTTAGACTTAAATACTCTAATTTTTTTTTAATTTTTTTTTTAAATATATAAATAAAAACCAAGTATCAAGACTAAATTGGTAAAGTGAGAAAAAAAATCCCTGCAGAAACTTGGAAAAAAAGCATTTAAAAAAAAAAAAAGACGTCTTAGATCCATTCTGGGCCTTCAGCAGACACCATTCACTTGTGCGCGGGCTTGAAGAGAAAGAAGAAGTGAGAAATGAAGGAACAGGAAGCTCTTCAGAACTTAGTGAAGAGTCCAAAAAGCAAAATGTGCAAAAAGTTTGTTTAACTTTATTTTAAACTCTAGAAGCAACATGCAAGGAGTGCTGCCTTCCACAAGCTGCAGGGGCCTGGGTTCTGTCACATTCCACTCATTGAGGAACATGTTGGCACAAGAAAAACCACCCAAGACTCTCTCAGAGCAAGTATGAAGCACGAACAAAGCTCCCTCCATTTTGAAGGCAAACCACACCTTGAAATAAACCTTTTCACAAACACCAGATCAGGTTCTCTCAGTTTTTACCTCCACTTAAGCACCAAAATAAACCCTTCCATATTAAAAAAAATACACTGACAGACAAATGTTACAAGTTTTCCACAAATATTAAAAAAATTATAACAAGTTCATACACATTTCCTTAGTTACACAATTAAGCAGCAGTTTAAGTGCACTTAATAGTGAAACCCTAAAGGAGAGGGAGCGTTACTCACCATTGTGCTTCAGATGTGTGACGGAAACAGGCAGCAGAGAAAAAATGGCAGCAGCAGTCAAAATGCTGAAGGCTCATAAGGAAGAGGAGCAGCAGATTGACTCATATGAAGGAGGAGCTGTGATGAATGAGTGCACCTCCAGGCGTGGAGCCACCCCTTTCTGCGCAGGTGTGACACAGTTGCAGCTGCAACCTCAGCCTCTAATCAAATACCAAACCTTAAACACTGAATTTCTAACTGCTTTCTTTTCTTTCACGGTTTGAGTTTATTTATCACTTTATCCATGTAGAGAAGGCAGAAGTGCAGCGTGTGTATTTTGAAGTAAAGCTCCAGGTGTGGAAGGTGTGATCAGCAAGTAATACCCTTATATGGAAAACAAACCTGTCCAAATGTTTCATCTGTTGCTGAGATGAAGCTCGGTGCCCTTATAAGGTAAAAGGCAGGACGATTTCGTGTCAGAAGAATTTACCTGTTGAAACTCAGACACCACATGACAATGACTAATGAGAATCAGAAGCCAATAATTGGTTCCTAACTAAAAAGTCCTAACACAGACGCACATATTTAATGTTTCAAAAGATACCCTGAGTCATGTGAAGGTTGAAATGTAAGTTTTTCTACAAGTTCTGGAAATAACAAGCAGATGTAGTGAAGATGCAATGTTGCTGATTGTGGAAGAAAAAAGATGAAGTGTTCATCTTAATTCAGTTTGGTGAATAAAACATAAGCTTATCTGAAAAGTCCAGGGGCGGAACAAGGAAATAGGCGGCCCTGTTGACAGAAAGCCCCCTCGTCACTTTAACGCCATACTTTCTTTGCTGTTTGACAGTAACTAAACAAATTTATTTAAGTGCTATAGTATATATATATTTTTTTTAACAAATGCAGTTTTAGCAATGAGTTTTGAACATGTTAAAAACAACTCCGCAGGTCTGAAGGAGATGGAAAACGTTTAGGAGCTACAACATCAAAAGCTTGGTCTCTGGTTTTAAAACTAGATCAAAATATACTTGGAGGGTTTTATTTGAGCATTAAAGGCTCTGATCACTTGAACAGAGGCTCGATAGTTGAATTATAGTGTTGAATGCAGGTAAACTAATGTTTAATCTGTTTATAATTTGACTGATCGCCAAGGAAAGGGTGCAATCACTCATTTGACCTTTGGCCTGTTCTCATCAGCCTTGCTGCTCGGTCTAAATAAAATTCTAAATCAAGATGTGTACCACAGTTTCCAGGACAATATGTGTAGTTCTGTGTTTAATTTACTTTGCTTAGACCTGTCCAAAGTCTTTGATACTGTAGATCATGACGTCTTATGCCACAAGCTCTCAGATATTGGCTTCTCAGATCACACTGTTGGTTGGTTCTCAAACTATCTCTCAGGTCGAAAGCAACGTATTCAACATAATGGTATTTTATCTAGCAACCTAATGGTCACTAATGGTGTGCCACAAGGCTCAGTTTAAGGTCCCACTCTTTTTACAATTAATGTAACGGCAAAACATTCCTGATGCATCTCTATGCCGATGATACTGCTGTTTATTGTCGCGCTAACACAGTTGCCAAGGTTTTCCAGCTTCTACAGTCTGCATTTGACATAATTCAGTCAAACTTACTCCATCCCTCAAACTGGTGCTAAATGCTGATAAAACCAAAGGGATTTTGTTTTCAAACAGAAAGTTGGTGCCAGTAGTTCCACGCATGGTGTTCCTATTGAGTTTGTGGATTCTTACAAATACTTGGGAATTTTGGTCGATGCACATCTCTCTTTTAAGCCATATAATGAAAACTTGATGAAGAACCTGAAATTAAAACTGGGTTTATTTTTCAGAAATAGATCTTGCTTAACTCTGAATGCCAGAAAACACCTTGTAGCTGCTACTTTCCTACTGGCCATTGACTATGGTGACATTATTTACATGAATGCCCCTGCCAGCTGCTTGCAGATGTTGGATGCTGTCTATCATGGCGCGCTAAGATTAATAACTGGTTGTAACTACCGTACTCATCACTGCGCTCTACTCCTTGGTCAGTTGGTCATCATTATCTACATGTAGGTTCTCACAATGGTTCATTTCCATCTATAAATCCCTCCTTGGTCTGCTGCCTTCATACATCTCCTCCCACATGTCTCGTCATCAGTGCAGTTACAGAGTGCACTCTCAGGACATCATTACCTGCAGCGTTCCCTCAGTACGGACTGAACTTGGCAAAAAGGCCTTTTCCTACACTGCCCCTGCAACCTGGAACACCTTGCATCAAGAACTGATGTTGTCCACCTTAATTTCTTTAGGGGATTTTAAACATTTGATAAGGCCAGTAGAAACATCAATGCTAGTATTTTCCTGTTTTAGTATTTTTACCTTGTTTTATGGTACATTGATTTATTGTTTTATAACACTATTTTTATTTTAACTGCATTTTTACTGTAGTTTGTTGTTATTATTGTTATTGTGGTCTGTACTTTCTATGTTCTGTCTGGAACAGGTCTCTGGTAAATGAGTCCTCATGATTCAATGAGACTAACCTGTATAAATAAAGGTTGAATGAAAAATGATTTTTTCTAATATTTCGCAGCTTAAAGAAACACAACAGAAGGAATTTTGTGGTCTGAGCTTTAAAATGTCAAACCTAACAGCACCCTAAAGTATTAGTGAGGAGAGGAAAAAATACTTGTCTTTGGCGATACAGAGTTCAGCTCTTTATGTCAGCCCTGTAATTTAGGTGGAGAACCAAGCCTTTCTTCACAGAATCTATTTTTATATTTTCAGATAGCCTGCCTCGTCATCTCAGTAGCTTTCCTCCCTTTGTGTGGATTTATGGTTTTACAGTCAGATCACACGGCCCCACATCTGGAATACAGCTTCCAAAAATCAGCACACGTCTGAGCGTACCTGCTAACGCTGCTATCGTCTGAGTGAGTGGAACACTGAAATGCCGTTCATGTGTGCAACACAGTCCGCGGGCCGTTTAGGAGTTTACTCATGAGGCCCGCTGGGCAGAGTTTGACCAAAAAGAAACAAGAAAAACATTTTTTTTATTCTTATCTTTGGTGCATAACTGATTAGCTTGTCCCACCTATATGTGTTTTTCCCAAGGACTCTTTTCTGTGGAGTATTACTATTTTATTTAAACAGTTTCAGTCATGGACGTGACACTAAATGTCACCAGAGGCGCCTCTAGAAAACTTTCATGGAGGTGCCCACGTGAAGGCTGCTGATGATCTTGGGGTGGCACACCAAAACCAAAAAAAGTCACAAGACAATTTCACAGGATTATTTTATGCTGTTGTTCAATGTACACTAATTTATAGAAATTTTAAAAATATGTAAAAATGATAGCAATGGCGTTTTTTTTTTTTTTTCCATTTTAGCATTCCCTAAAGAATTCACATTGATTGCTCATTTTCATGCCAGTGTTTAAAAAAAAAAATCTTGTGACATCTATTAATGCTCGGATTATGTGTTGGGGATGACTCTCAACTACTTAAACTCCAAACTTTAACTCCATATCTGCAAATGTGATTGAGTTGTAGAAATTTTTACGTTGGCTAAGGTCAGTTGGAGGTCATAGATAAACAGCACAGTCAATAATTATTTTTCTGAAAGTTTTACTAAAACCAGTCCAGTAGATTAAAAGACGGAGTGGCAAATTTGTAAGCTGCCTTTTCTGCCCCCCACCCTCACCCCATCCGTGGTGCTCCTGACAGGATGTGCTCAGAGTATGTGTTGGGAATGACTCTCAGCTGCTACTACAACAAACTGTTGCACAATATCTGTAACAGTTGTACTGTGAGCTAAGATGGCATGAACCAGGTAGACTCCAACTGTTACTAGTTGTAAAAGTCCATCCAGATGTTACTTTTTGAGTTTTATTAAAATCCATCCACTGGTTCATGAGGTTGCACTTTATGAAATTGTCAACTCAACAGTCTTTCTGGAGCCAGAAAGGAGCAGCTTGATGCAGCTGTTTTAATGAGAGGATGCTGTAGTTTTCCATCACAACAGCTTACATTTGTCCATCCTTCTGCTCAGAAAGTTCTGTTTTTTTCTGAAGCTCCTCTTCAAATTACGCACCTATAAATCTGAGGTCTTGGTTCCCTTTTTGAAACTTTGATGTGAACACTGTTATTGCTGTCACATACGTGGTTGAAGAGTAAAAAAAAAGAGTGAAACTTGCTTCAAAATAAATCAGCAGGGAGAAAAAGCTTTGGAGGAAATGTGTTTCACTGCTGGTTTTAAGGCTCGTCATCATAAGTGTGGTCGCTCTTGTCTATCGAAGCAAACGGCAGCCAGCAGCAACTTTAAAAGTAGCAAAAGAGGAAACACAACCCGGAGCCGTGCAGGGCAGGAAATGACTGCTGCATGGCTCCCTGTGAGCTGAAAAATTCATGCTGCAGCAAGAAGTTTGGCCTCAAGAGACCAGGAACAAACTAAATGTGTGAGAAGCAGGACATCTGCTGGTTTATCACCAGTACTAAACTGAACATCTGCTTTTGTCTTGTCTTACATGTGACGATGAAGCAAAATCTACCAGTAGGTCCAGTGATTAAAGGGAAGTCAGTGATGGGGCACACACACATTATTGTTGTTTATTTGTTTTATAAAATTCCATTTAAAAATTCATGGCAAGTTCTGTAAAATTGGGAAACAATTTTCATTACTAAAACATCCAAAACATCTGCAAAGATTTAGCAAAACAACAAAAAAATCTAGAAACGTTTTGTCTCTCATCCGAGAGACTTCCTCAGTCTGAGGTGCTGTTTTCAGCTCAGTCTCTTAAATAGCACCTTCTCAGAGTGGATCAACCAGTTTTGCTGCTGACAACCAAAACCAGCTGATCACATGCTCAAGAAGGACCATCAGCCTAACGATGGATCATTAGCACACTGATGGCTGTTTACTATTCACAGAGGGCTGAGTGATACTAGCAATCACAGCATTGTAAGAGGGGGACTGTTGAACCCGGAGGCCTCCACCCCTGTTTAATGATGGACGATTTCTTTTCACAAAGATGGCCTCCTTTACTCCTCTCTCAAACCATCGTTCCTCTCTGTCCAGGATGTGAACATCTTCATCCCTGAAAGAGTGACCGCTGGCCTGGAGATGAGTGTAGACCACAGAGTCCTGGCCTGATGATGTTGATCTTCTGTGCTGGGCCATCCTTTTGGCCAGTGGCTGTTTAGTTTCCCCGATGTAAGACTGATCACAGCCCTCCTGACACTGAACAGCATACACAACATTACTCTGTTTGTGCCGGGGGACTGGATCTTTGGGATGAACCAGTCTTTGCCGTAATGTATTTTGGGGTTTAAAAGCCACTGGGACGTTATGTTTAGAAAATAAACGTCTCAGTTTCTCTCATACTCCCTCAACATATGGATGTTGTTTGTCTCGTTTGTCTCTATTTGTCCCTGTGATGGACTTGCGACCCGTTCAGGGTGTACCCCGCCCCTCGCACAGTGATTGCTGGACAAGGGCACCGGCGACCCCTGTGACCCAAAATGGAATAAGCGGGTAAAGAAAATGGATGGATGGATGGATTAGCATTTGCTGCTAAGAACAAGGGTTTTGCTACTAAAACGTTGCTACTTTTAGCTCATGTTTCACTACTTAAAACTAGCATTTTGGTACTTTATATGCTACATAACACTTTTCTACATATAACCAGAGTTTAGCTATAATTATATAGGGTTTTGCTACTTATTACCGGATTGTTTTCACATTTGATTATAATTTTGCTACTTAACTATTGTTTTGTTACTTTTAACCAGTGTTTAGTTTTTTTTTTTAACCAGTGTTTTGATACTTTTAAGTAGTGTTTTTCTACGGTTTACTTGCATGTTTTTACTTTTTGCTAGCATTTTGCTACTTTTGTTGTATCTCAAGTAACATTCTGCTTAACAAGAGAACCCGTGTTTATTTTCAGTATATATTTGATCATAAATGAAACCACTCCTTTAAACCAATTGAATGATTTGGTTGTATACAGTAAACATGGAAATAGCAGATTTATCATTTAAATGTTGTGAGGTCATAAAGGTTACCATAAAATCTGACCCCTAAATGTCCAGAACGCTGGTTACTATCTTTAACAGACATTTTACTACTTAACTAGTATTTTGACTAGTGTTTTGTTGCTTTAACTGGCAAGTTGCCATATTTAATTAGTATTTTGCAACTTTTAAATGTGCATTGCTGTTCCTGTGTACCAGCATTTAGCTACTTTAAATGGAAATTCGCTACTTTTACCAATTATTATTTATTATTTATATATTATTATTATTGTCCCAATCCACCCCTGGTGAGTGTCACACAACAAAAACACAATAAATGAAATGAAAAGTAGTTGGGGGGGTGGGGGGGCTTTAAACAGTCAAATTGTCCTGGGTGCCACACACTTCATCCATCTTTATTAAGGTTGAAGGTTTCAAGCCTTAAATGGAGATGAAGAGGTTTTATTTACTGCACAGGAATTGTTTGAAGACAAACCATGAACAACTGTAATGCACATTTAAGACTCAACCAATGCATTGAGCTTGTTTGTACCAACTTTTAAGATCTAAATCAAAGTAAATATTGGTGGGTAAACTGATGTTCCTTTATTAGAAAATCCCAAGTATGTTGACAGGACTTTGTGTTTTTTATTGCTCGCAAATATGAAAAGTTTTAGTAACACATTTCTCCTTAAAAGTAAAATTTATAGAAGCAAATCTAAATTTGCATTAAACCAGAGGAATGTTCAGACGTGACGACTCTTTAAGACGAATGGTGGCTTCTTCAGCTTCTCTACAGCATCGCCAAATTCATCCACTGTGGATGAAAGCATGAGCTGGTTATTATATGATTCATCCATCCATCCATCCATCCATCCATCCATCCATAGATCTCTTACCTCCATGAAGTTCAACTCTATGTATCCATCCTCATCCTTGTCCATGGTCTTGAAAGTGTCTGTTGTAAGTAGATATCAGAGCTCTGTAATGTTTACATGATTACAATGTGTACATAAAAAGAAGAAGAAGAAAAGAACTCACTGAATTGCGACTCCAAGCGAACCAGGCAGCACACGAAACTGTCAAAGTCAATGGTGAGGTCTGCATCACTGAAGCGAGCCACGATTACCTGATTCAGAGTGTTGTTCAGGGAGAAACCTAGAAGCAGAGAAATCCACACGCTTTTCCGTTTTAGCTAAATATTTTGTTTATTCAGTTTACTTCAGTCTAACACGTGTCTTATAAAAGGTGCAATTTACGAAATGTGTTTTTCACCAGCGTCTTCGACAGCCATGCGCATCTCAGTGGAGCTCATAGAATCACTGTTGTCTGCGTCTCTGGCTTTGTACAGATCCTAACAGAGAGGACAAGTCATGACCTGTTTGTCTAATCAACCATTGCATAAACATGTAAATAAAGACAACAAGGACACACCAAAAACTTCTCAATCTTTGTCCACAGGATCTTAAATTCCACCAGCCCCAGCTTCCCGCTTCCATCTTTCTTTGGAGCAAATGTCAAGGAGTACTAGAATATCCAGAGTTATCCAGAGTTTAGATTAAAGCAAAAACTATGATGGTAAGTCTTTTTTTTTTTTTAAAAGGACATTTTGAGGTATAATAATATTAATATAGATGAAATAACTGATAGCTTTGTTATGGTTGTACAGTCAGTGTGTCTCTACAGACAGAACTATAGTGACGGTTGACAGTTTTGGAACATTTTGTGCAAAAATAAAAACCATTCCCAAACTATTTAAAAATAAAATTATTGGAAGCACGAAGAAGTCTAGATACGTTCATAAATTTTATGCTATTAAATTACATCTATTAATAATGATTAACTGGCTACACTATTATTTATTTAAACTTGAGTCATGCAAATATGTATTTATAGTGTATTAGATAGATACTAAATTAAGCCCAGGGGAAAATGTGAGGCATCCAGTATCATGTTCTAACTATACAGAAAAATAACACACATATGAAATAATCAAAAAAGAAGCAGAATAAACAAATTGGAAAAAGACAATATGCACATGCACATGGTGGTAGGGGGTACTACATTCATGATTAACCTGTATATATGTATATATGCATACACATCTAAGGATACATGTATATACATTACATATACAGTACACACTGGTACATATATATTACATAAAAAGTCAAATAGTTTTACAATTGTTTGTATGCATATTTTGTTAAACGAGTCTTGATTTAAAAATAATTGCTACGAGACCTTAATGATGAGACTGAAGAATGTGACCGATGGACAGGAAACATGCACCCAACGACTCAGAGCTGTCAGTCAAAACAATAAAAAAGCATTTTAAAAGTCCTTCAAGACAATAATTTAACAATAAGCATGATTAATTTTGAAGCAAGTGGAAACAAAGGGGAAATATTGGTACCACTTTTACAATAACTTTCCCCTTATAGATGCTAATAAATAGTTTATAAATACATTATTAATTCCTCTATAAACACTTTATAAATCATTGACAATTGTTTATTATGCCTCAATTAAGGGTGACAGAGACTGACCAGTTTCTTGCCAAATAGTGAGCCAAATCTGTTAACCTATATATTTAATCTAGAGTTGTTATATTAAACACTTCAGACTAAGTTACTACCTTGTAAGCACAATAAGCATTTGTTAACCTAATTTTTTTTAGGATATAATATTAGTTATAGATACTTATAATGCAGTGACAAAGTACAATAAAGAAATAGGTTTACAAATGCTTATTGTGCTTACAAGGTAGTAACTTAGTCTGAAGTGTTTAATATAACAACTTTAGATGAAATATATAGGTGAACAGATTTGGTTCACTATTTGGCAAGAAAATGGTCAGTTTTGTCTTTATCACCCATAATTAATGCATAACAAGCAGTTATTAATGATTTATAAAGTGTTTATAGAGGAATTAATAACTATCTATAAACTATTTATTAGCCATCTATAAGGGGAGACTTGTTGTAAACTGGTACCAAAATATATATATAAAAAAAAAAACACAGGAGGAGGTCAAAGGGTCACAATAAAAATGGAAAAATGATGTGCCTTGAAAAGAACAATGTCCAAGAATGAAGAATTACAATAAGTGAAACTCACTTTATCTTTGAGACAGAACAGCATGAAATCAGCTGAAGAGGAAAAATAAGACTAACTCAAAATCTGTAACCAGAAGTATAAAGTTAACAGTGGGTTACAGATGAGGCAATCACTGGCTGGATATAACTGAATGAGAGTCATATTCAGAGGTATGTATTCAAGGGAAAGCACAATGTGTTGTCATCATCACTGAGCCAACACAACGATGGCATTTGATCTGTGCAGTCGACCCATCGCACAGAGATCCACTCAAGTGGAGCAGCCAGGAGCCGTCCTGCAATGATTTCCAGATTAATGATGATTTTCATTTGCAAATTTTACAGAAAAGATGCAACATCATGCTAATTGCGTTTTTGTACTTTTAATTTTTTTCCCTACTTAATAAGAAAAAAATGAACTACCCTCAATTATTTTTTTTAAAGGTGATCATTTTCAATGTTAAATTTCTTTTACACTAAACTATATAAAACTGTGCAACTTGAAATTGTTTACTTCAGTGGCTTTTCAGATACTCTATATCGACTACAGCTTAGAAATGTGGGTATGTGCTTAATGTAAACAAAGCACTCCGCTGAATCTGCTGAAAGAAACATTCAAGTTCAAGTTATGTTTATTTGTCATATTTGTCATATGCATAACGTGAAAGCTTGACCTACAGACTGGATGTAATCTGTGCAGAAAAAACAAACATGGCCGATACGTTTGACCTGTTTTCAGTCTCTTTAGCTGCTTGTAGGTAAACAAACACACATTACATCCGGCAGCTGTTTACAAAGTTTTCTAGCAAGTTTTTCTTTGAGGACACATTAATCATTGATCCAACAAAGTTCAGTCAAGTCATCTGGATTTCTTTCTTTTTTTTTTTTGTTGTTGAGACATTTTGTATTTCATCCAAAGGACTTCATCAGTCCGAGGAGCTACAATAAACTGAGTCCCACAAGAAAAAAAAACCACATAGTGGGCTAACCAGTTTGCTGCTGAAAACATGGTTTATGGGGCCCGCCCTCTCCCCCGTCAACTCCTCTGAGGCAGCCATAGCCAAAGTGGTTCAAAGCATCAAAGTTCATGCTCAATAATCCAGGGAGAAAATCCAACAAAGTTCGATCAGGTCATCTGGACGATTTCTTTCTTTCTCTTTAATTTGAAATATTATAAGCATTTCTTTAGTATCACTGTTGCCACTGAATAAAAATGTTTTGTGGGATATTTGTAATGTGATTAATTCAAACAACTGAATAGCTGTTTCTAAAGGTGAGTCTCTGTTTTCTTTTCTTCTTCTTCTTTTTAAGGTAAATGTAAATCTTTATGCATCTTTTTTAATACTTCATGATGAAACTTAGGATGAGACAAAAAGGATACGTCCAACAGGTCGATCATGTTGCGGCAAGTTGAAAGACTAAACCCGTCAGTTTTGATGTCACTTCCTGAAAAATAACACAATTCAATAATTTGCTCCATGTGGTCCACATAAATACTTAAATTGCATTAAAAGCAAAGGGGAAAGTCTTACTTCTTGTCACCACTCTGTTGAGGATTCTTTGTAATTCGAATGCAGAAATCTCCACATCCTGACCGACATAAGAGACAGATGTTGTAAGGATGGTACCATTTGCTGTTTCTGTTTGTGTCTGTGTTTCCCTAGTGTTTCCTCGTCAGTTTAATTGTTGCCACCTTTGTCTCGTCACACCTGTTGTAATCACGTCTTGTCTCGTCCTTGTATATAAGCCTCCTGTTCTGTGTTGTTCCTTTGTCGGGTCGTATTCGTTTGGGTCTTCAGTGTTCTCCTGTGTCTCCTGAGTTTCCTGAGCTTTCTGAGTCCCGTTTGAGTATCCCTCCAGAGTCGTCTTGTTTATGTAAGTGTGCTGCCACGTCAGCTTATTGTTTTGTTACTTTTTAATCATCATTAAAATACTTAGTTTTGTAATCTGCCGAGTTGAGTCCTGTCTGCACTACTGGGTTCGTTCCTGTCCACCAGATCCTGACAGATGTATGTTGATTTCATGAACTTTGACTAAACATCTGGAGGCAATCTGTAAAATCTTTAGCATTCTCACACTTCCAGCGAGTTGTGCAAACAGGTTTTTGAATCTGTCATCGATGTCGTCTTCATCAATATTGATCTAAAAGGACACACGTGAACTTTTTAATTTTTGGAACTCTAACAGGATCATTATAAGACAAAAAAAATATCCTGAAACAGGATTTACCTGCTCAACATGGCAGTGCACAGGGTCATCAATCGCTCTGAGATTAACAAATTTATCAATTACTTTAATTCCCATAAAGCTAAACTTTATATATTTAATGACAAAAATACTCATTGCAAAGTAATGAAGACAAGCCAAAAAGAAATATAAAATAATTAAAATGTACACCAAATTCTTATGTTCATGGTTAATGTGTCACTAAATAAAACACTTGTGAACAAAATTTGTGATCGGATGCCAACTACGTTTGTTTACTTATAAAAACAGCTGAAGTGACTGAAAATAGGTCAACAATGGCAATATTCATGGAAGAAGACAAGAACACTGACAACTCTTGATGTACTAGTAAGTACTATTTCTCATATTTATTGAGTAAAGTATGCAGATAGATTTTTAATGAGTTATAAACATTCAGAACTTTAGAGTCCCCAACCCTGGTCCTTGAGGAACACCATTCTGCACGTTTTAGTTGTTTCCCTGCTCCAACACATCTGATTCAGTGATTTAATCACTTCCTCATGTTTTGCAGAAGCCTGTAAATCCATTTAATAAAATCAGGTGTGTTGGAGCAGAGAAACAACAACAAAAATGCAGGATGGTGTTCCTCAAGGACCAGGTTTGGTAACCCTTGCTTTAGACTAATGTAGCAAAAAAAAAAAAAAAGCTAAATTTACGGGTCCAGCAAAGTTTTGCACAAGCCGCATGTTTGACTGCTGAGCTCTGTCTTTGTGTTTCTCCATCACATTTGCCCGATTTCCTTTTATTTCTTGAGTGTTGTATGACTTGTTTGTCTTTTCCTTTTAGTTTTGCAGCAGATTCACTTTAATGTCTTCAAGATTTTTGGTGTCTGTTTCCGTCATATTTGTTTACCAGCGCAGACTACGGCCAGCCAAACTGAGGCATGATTCAAGTTCTGTCTGAAGAGAGCTTTTTTTTTTTTTTTTTACCGACGACACCCAGGAGGATGCTGAATCTGCCGTTAAGGCCATCGTCATAGGGGCGTCAGGTGATGCTGGCGTTTTCCCACCTGAATGGACTCTTTACCTTGGGTGGGATTTCCACCGCATACATAAAACATCCTAACTTGCAAGAGGGTTATTGATAAGTGATAAAAATCTGTGAACAGAGGGAAATGTTGGGGGATATAAAGGTCAGCTTGCTGATGTACAGAATAACCGTGTATGTGAAGACGAGAGTCTTTCTGTCTACTCAGGGGAGCCTGATAACTGAAAACTGATAGCTGATAAACTCTGACGCCTTCAAGGGCCTATAGCTGGAAAGCAGATTTGCCTTGAGAGGTTGTTTTGACCTCGCCTGTCTGATAGCCATTTTAAAAAGACACGTCTTTACGCTCTGTTTGAACAGACGTGGAGACGAAGCGACATGTAAACATCTCGTCTGCTTGTATTTCAACGCTGTTCCGTCTCGCAAGATTAAATCCTGGGTTAAAAAATATCTTATCCTTCCTGTGTGGCTCATTTATTTAATGATCTATGATGGAATTGTCCAACATTAAAATTGATTAAGGACCCACATTTTCAAGTTTAATATGAATATACATATATATATAACTACATGAGTAGAACCTTTACTATGTTGGTTTCATACTTTGCAACGAGCACCTTTAAAATTAAAGTATTTGTGGCATTGACGTACTGGAAATCGGTCTCTTTCTCCGAGAAAACCCGCATGTAAAAGTTTGCATTCTTGTCGGGCTCAAAGGTGGAGGGCACAATGACATACTCCCCGGGGGGGAGACAGAGACGGCTGGACACTTCCCGTGTGTTGATGAAGGTTTCAGAGCGCGCTGCTGAACCGTGGCTCTGGAAGAAGTTTTTCTTCAGGTGCACCTGTCTTTGGCCAGAAAACTGCAAAATGGGACACCAACAGTTGTTGCATCAGCGTGGCCATATACTATACATACATATATATACTATACATATATATATATATATATATATATATATGTATAGTATATATATATATATATATATATATATATATTGAAGGATTGCCAAAAGGTCCTGGTTGCTTTGAATACTAATATCTGAGTGCTACCAGTAGAATCCCCATGTGATGTACCTCATCAGGAAGCTAGAAAAAAAACAAAAACAAATTAAACATGAATAACAAAATTAAATATTTAACATCCGCTTTTAATTTTGTGCTGTTGTTGCTCATTTTGAGGCAGCTTCATACATCATAAATTGCAAATCCGATGGTTTCCATGTCTTCCCCCATTTTCCTCATTCGACGTTTGTTCTTCTGCATCAAGCCCACGATGAAAGTGCAGCCGTCCTCCCCATCATCAGGATCATCATCCACATCATCCAGCTTTATGACGAACTGAGGGTTCATCCAGAAGGTATCTAGCAAACGGATCAGTGGTGTCACAGAACCATTTTGGTTGAAATCACACAGAAGTGAGGGATAAACTGGTCATACTGGCATAGTTTCTGCAGCCTCCGGCGGTCACGCCCCTTCGCCATGACTCGTCAAACTCCGTCTGAGCCCACTTTTTGTATTCCTCTCCTGTGAGAGCATCTGGGGTGAGGTTGCAGATCTCGAGGCGGGAATACTGATGCAGGAAGTCAGAAAACGACATCCTGTGGACAAGAGAGTTGCATGCTCATTGTACCTTTCTATTTTATGTTTCTGTCAGTGGATGGTGTTTAAAAAAAAAGTTTATTTTTTTGATGAGATTCACCAGAACTCCCCATCCTCCACGCAGTTGGTCAGCCTCTCCCGAACATCATCACTCACGTTTCTCCATTCAGATGAACTGGAATAAAAATTAAAAAAACTAGAGACTTTGCATTTCCTGCAAAAATGCAGCGTGACTGTTTCTTGCTGAAGAACCTGCTGAAAAACAGCTGAAACTAGTTAAAAACTTGCAGAAATTTAGCTGAAAGGAAGAACAAGCCTATGTTAGCAGAAGAAAGCTGAAGTGGAAATTAAAAAAGAGAAAATGTTCCCAAAAAGCTGAATAGTAGCTAAAGAAATGTAGAAAGAAGCTTAAATTTCCAAAAGGAAGTGAAGTGAGTTTAATTGTGCCCACTAAGACTGAAAGAGGCAGAAATTAGCGCAATAAATTTGAAATTATCTGCAAAAAGCTGAAATTTGCCAAAACAGCTGAATAGTAGCTAAAAAAAGCAGAAAGAAGCTTAAATAACTAGAAGGAAGTGGGGCGATCAGAAATGTGCCCACTAAGGCTGAAAGAAGCAGAAATGTGCACAAAACAGTTGAATAGTAGCTAAAGAAATCTAGAAAAAAGTTTAAGTTTCCAAAAGAAAGTGAAGTGAGCACAATTGTAGCCACTAAGGCTAAAAGAGGCAGAAATTAGCACAATAAAGTTGAAATAATCTGAGAAAAGCTGACATTTGTCAAAAACAGCTGAATAGTAGCTAAAACAAGTAGAAAGCAACTTAAATTACCAGAAGAAAGTGGGTAGAGCATGATTTTTGCTGAATTAGGAAGAAAAAAAAATTGAACTGATCGCAAAAAATGTGAAATTAGCTGAACAAGCTGAAATTAGCATAAAAACAGTTAAATAGTATCTGAAATAGCAGAAATAGCCGAAATTAGCAGAAATAAGCTGAAAGGAGCATAGCAAGATGGAATTAGCAGAAATAAGTTACAAAAAGCACAAAAATGCTGGACTTAGCTGAATAAAGCTGAAAGAAGCACAAAAACTGTTGTAAAAAAACAGCTGAAATTAGCTGATTTTTTTTTTTTTTTTTTTTTTTTTTGCAGGAGAAAGCTGAAAGAGGCTTAATTGGATCAAAATGTGAAAGTAGTAAAAGTTTGTAAACAGATCAAAAGTTATGAAGGTTGTAAAATGAGCTAAATTCATTTTCAATGAGGGCAAAAATGACAGAAAAGGCTAAATATCTCAAAAAGCTAAAGTTGCACCAATACCAAAAGTCATAGCACACGTCTCCTGAAAGAGCTGAACGTTTTATACTGTATGAAGCATTCACACATTAAAAAAAATAAACAGGAGTTCACAGTTACCTGGCAACCACAGAACACTGTTTAAGTAACAGTTGTTTTACAACAGGCTTTTCAAGCTTTTCAAAGGGTGCACTGTGCATGTCTATGTGCACTACATGCATGACAGGGGAACACCCAAGGTACAAGATTCATATTTAGGCTGGATGGAATGTAGTGGCAAGTAACTGAGAAAGACATTTTTGTCTAAAAGAATAATGTGGGTGGAAGAAGAGCTCTTATTCGGTGTGTATATTATTAGTTGTCAAGTTGAGTGACGTCTACATGTTAGAAACGTTCACTGTGGGTTTGATTCACAGCTACTTCCTCACCAAATTTTAGCTCAGTACTGGAAAAACTGACTGAGTTACAGCCATTTTGTGTTCAGCTGATTTGCTGTGGCAACCATCTTGAATCGGTTTGACTCCAAAAGTTAATCTGTTGTAGGTGTTCGACGAGCGACGCCTTTCTGAGAGTTACAGTAAAATCTGTGCAGTGCTTCCCCTGCTATGGAGCACAGCATCTAAAAGCCATGTCCGGTTTCTGAGAAATAAATCAAGAAATCACCAAAGATTGGAAAAATAACTTCAGATGCATGTTGGCGCAACACTTTATTGAATAATTTAATATTACTTGTCCGACAATGAAGAAGCTGTCGATTTCTGAGCACGTTGGTCTAAAACTCACTTGTCGCTCCAGGCTCCGGTCCACTCCACTTGACCCCATGGGTTCCTGACCCTGATCAGTTGCACCATGTCTCTGCTATACTCCACCTGCCACACACAAAGGTGTCAAATACACAGAATATTTAAAGGCTTGGCCTTTCTTGAAGGACTGCATGTATATACCCTCACTAACATGGAGCACAGGTTGACCTCACCTGATCTGCTCCTGTCACGGAATAAGCGTGGCCTTTCACCAGCTTGCTACGAGTAATGGCCTCAGAATCAGATGCACTGGTGATCTGGGTTAGGAAAATCATGTCGGGTAAGTTTATCACACTCCACTGAGTTAATCGCCATGCTTAATGACATTAAATTAAGAAAGTCGAACAAACATCAATGGAGCATCCCATGAGAGATCCTCTCTCCAGGGCTTTTCTAATTATATTGAAGAGATTTGGATCCGGTTTGCTGAGGTCATGCTGCTCAGCAATCCCCCCGGTGAAGTCCTCAAAGCCCTCAGTGGTGCTGCCTCCAGAGAGAGCCTCGTAGCATCCGTTCACTCTAAAATTAAAAAGGTTTGTTAAAATACGAGCTCAAGAAAGGACGCTAAAGCAGAGTGGTATATCCAGACGCCTTCATACTTGGCATAGGCCTTCTCTAGCAAGGCACTCCAAAACTCTGAGCCCTCCTCCGAGTGAACGAACAGTAGTTTTCCATCCCTTGTAGGCAGACGATCATCAACCACCACATCCACCCAGTCACCAAACTGCCAGAACTGAGGAACACAACAGAATCACAACTCGAATCTAAATCTCTCTGTGTGAGGCGGTCCAACAAGCAGGCTGTAAGTGTGGTACCTGAAAGTGAAAGATTCCAGCATAGTTCGTCTCAAAGCTCTGGTCGTGAGGCACGACACGAGACAAAACCTGCTTGTTGAGAGTCAGGGAGGCGATAGCTGCCAGGAGCCAGCAGTCGCCTAAAGGAAAATTTCACAAGTTACAATTAAGTCAAATGAGCTCCAACACATGCAACGTCTCAGGCGGTTTCATTTTGCCATCGCAACAACGTCTCCAAAACATGGGAGCCACAAGTTGCACAAAAGTCTAATCTTTTGCTGCAACTCGGTGTCGCCAGCTTAAAGAAGCTTTGTGGCAGACTACGTGTAGGCGGTGGAGTCAGACGGAGTTTTTGTGCTATTGTTTGGTACACAGTGACAGGTGGTGTCTGGTGTGCTGCTCATGCGCAGAGAAGACGGGATTAAACATCAGCATGTTTCTGCTTAACAGGCTAAGTATGCAAAATGAGTTAAACTGTTGCAAATGGAAACGTGTTCCGTGTGAAATGCTATTAGTGTTCAATCATGACCAACAAAACACTTTAAATGTTATTTCTGAACCCATTTCACTCCCATTTTTAAACAAAGTTGTTGGTCATATGAAACCCTCAGGTTCTCCTGCTGACCCCCGTCCCTGCATCATTTTTTAAACAAGTTTTACCCACGATTGGACCCGCTGCTATTATTATTATTATTATAAATAGTAGTGTTGCTGCAAGTGTGATCCCTGATGTTTTCAAACATGAAGTAGTTAATCCATTAATTAAGAAACCTGGAATTTCAGATGAATCTCAAAACTTCCCTCTCTGTCCAAAATCCTGGAGAAAAATAGTTTTTATTCAGTCACGGTAAATGAGTTTTTGAATGTGAAAAGAATTTTTGAGATTTTTCAGTCTGGTTTTAAGCGACTTCACAGCACCGAAACAGTGTTAGTGAGGGTTTGTAATGATATGCTGGTATCAAATGATTCTGGTCAATTTGTAGTACTTGTACTCCTGGACCTTACTGCTGCTTTTGATACGGTTGACCACAGTATCCTTAAATCGTGGCTGGAACAGTGGGTTGGGATCACAGGTGTTGCATTAGAATGGTTCTGTTCATACTTGAGTAACAATGTATCTGTTTCAATGCTCTTTCCTGTGCGGTCCCACAGGGCTCAATTCTTGGACCTCTTCTGTTCTCACTCTATTTGCTCCCACTGGGGTCCATCCTGAGGAAACATGGTCTTTCATTCCATTGTTATGCTGATGATTGTCAGATCTATGTGCCTTTGAAACCAGCAAGTGCTTGCTACATTTACTCTCTCCTAAAATGTCGGGACGACATTAAGGCATGGATGGCTTCAATTTTCTCAAGTTTTAACAAAGTCATTGTCTTTAGCCCTAACCCAACTTCCACCTCCGATCCTGTAAACCTGGACTCCCTTCAGCCATATATTAAGCAGTCTGTTAAGAATCTCAGGATGATTTTAGATTCGGACTTCAAGTTTGACAAACAAATCAGCTGTTCTGCAGAAATCTTCTTCCAACTAAGGCAGGTAGCTAAGCTCAAGCCAGTGTTGTCCAGACTCGACATTGAGAAAGTAGTCCCTTTATCACGACCCGACTGGACAATTGCAATGCACTCTATGCTGGGGTCAGCCAGGCCTCCACCTCACATCTCCAGCTCGTCCAGAATGCTGCTGCTCAACTCTTAACCGGAACTCGTAGGTCTGAGCATATTACATCAGTTCTGTCCTCCTTTCACTCGCCTCCCTGTGCGTACTAGAATAAACTTAAATTTTCATTCAACCTTTATTTATACAGGTTAGTTCCCATTGAGCCTCAAGGACTCATTTACAGGAGAGACCTGTTAAACTTTAAAATTCTCCTGTTGACCTTCAAGTGCCTAAATGGCCTCGCACTCCTTTACCTCTCTGAGCTACTGGAACCATATGTTTCCTCTCGGGCCCTGAGATCATCCGATCAGCTGCTTTTGGCTGTTCCTAAAACAAGACTGAAGCTCAGAGGAGATCGAGCATTTTCAGTCATGGACCCCAAACTCTGGAACAACCTGCCCCCTGATATTAAGCAGCCCCCCTCCCTTCCTGTGTTCAAATCTCTGCTAAAATCTCATCTGTTTTCTTTGGCATTTCACACAGCGTGAGTTGATTTAGTTTTTTTTTTTTTGCTCTGTGTTCCATGTTTTTAATGCTTTTAATTAATTTGTCAGTATTATCGTGTTATTTTTCCATTAATTTTACTCTCATTGATGTTATATTGTCAAGCACTTAACAATAGATTCTTTAAAATGTGTTTCTCCAGACACCAAGATGTTTGAAGGAGTCTTCAATGGGGCATAAGGGGCAGCTGTGGCTGAGTGGTTAGATCAGTCGTCCTCCATTGGGAGAGTTGGGGGTTTGAATCCACCAGCAGTGGCAAGACACTGAACGCCTCATTCCCTCCAATGTGTGTCCCATCGGTGTATGACTTTGATCTAAAGCATTGATTACCATAATCTTGTACAGATATAGTAGAGTGCTGTATGAATGGGTAAATGAGGGCACAGATTGTGTTGTAAAGCACTTTGAGTGTCTTGATAAGATAGAAAGTACAGTCCATTTACCATTCATTGGTTAGGACTTCACTATCATTAGATAAAGCTGAGCTCAGACAGAGATTCTGCAGGATCTGTTTGCTCAGTAACAGACAGTAAAATTAATCACAACGTTGATGTATTTGAGTGGGACCAAAACGCAGGGCTCTGAGTAGTTTAGGTTTAGACGTGTGCTGGGAATGGTTCGGTTTACTTTAGGGTAAAGGTTACTATTAAGTTACAGGAATGGAAGTCAATACAATGACATCATAAGGATATAAATACCAATGTGTGTGTGTGTGGACGTCTCACCAAGTGCCCCCTGACAAATATCAGTCCTGGTGGCATCTTCACTGATGAATTTTGGACTGGCGTGCAATTCCTAGGGGGAAATTAGTGACTGTTTCAACACGTGAAAGAGGTCATGCTGAAATGATCTGAGAACTTTTCATTTTGTCAAATTCTCATTAACTCTTTTTTTCAAGCTTCGAGAAGACTTTATTGTTATTCGCATCACATGTGGTGCATGAGGTGGAACAAAATTGTGCACTCAAGGTCCCAGTTACACCCCAAAATATAAAGTATTAAAAAAGAATACTGTGCAAGGATCTAAGATATACACTAAACAATAATAATATAATATAAAATCAAATATTTTTCAATATTTTATTGTATTTTAAGTTTCGAATTGATGGTAATGATGAAAAAAGTTCATGTTTCGTTTGGTTTTTTTATCATCAGAAATGGAATAACGACTGAAAACAGAGAAAACCCGTCATGATTTTGCACCAAATGTATCCATAATGATGTAATGTGCTGATAACAGTGACACATTTCATGTGGCAATAACAATTTTACAAATAATAACTTTATTTACTTTTACTTAAAACAGTAAACCCTTCTCACTGACTCCCAGCTCTAAATGCAAAGCAGCTACTTGAACGCACAGCTCTGACGTCAGCGAGTCATATAATATTTTTGTTTGAGTACAGCACTCACAGTGGGTCTCTTCCAGGTGATTCCCCGAACTTTGTAAGAACCTGGTCCGAGCTCTTTGTAGCCCAAGGACGTAACCAGAGGCTCAAAGCAGTTGTCCTCAAACAGCTGACGTCTTTCCAGACAGCTTCTCCTCAGCTCCTCGAAGTCTTGGTTCAGATATTTTACAGCCTGAGATTTGGACCCGACTCCCTGCGCTTTCTCCCGGTGGTACTGGAGCTTTGCTGCGATGCCTGACATGTTGGGGTTGTTCTGCTGCTGCCTCTCCGTGTGTCTCTGCTCTGTACGGTTAGACAGGTTCTGTCATATGTGCTCTTCAAGTGTTTCACCACACCCTTTATTGTTCACATAAGAGCTTCTCCCGGCGTGAGCCCGTTATTCTATCAGTGAATAGTTCCTTGCAACAAAAAAACAACTTAAAAAGTAAAAGACAAAAAGCAGCCCAGACACGAGCCGTTTATGATTTAATCTGTGAAGTCTGTGTGATATTTTACTAACAAATACATCATCAACTTTTCTTCTTTTATTTCACAAGTTTTAAACAGACGAATAACTAATTAGAAAATACATGAGCATATAATTTGCTTAAAACGTTATCAGTTGCACATAATTATGCATATTTTACATATTAAGAAAGAACAACACATAAAGTGTGCACCGTCTGCCTCGTTTTGCTGCGATTTTATTCTTTCTTCCTGGATCTTGCTTGGTGTTTTCCGAGCTAATAGATCGCCAAGCACATCCACTGTGGGGGGAAACACATTTATACACTGTAAATGTATATGAGAAGTTTAAACCCAGCCCTTCTGATTGTATCTTTTTCTGTCAAACCTGCTGTAAGTTCAGTTCGATCTTCCCCGAGTTGTCCCTCTCCAGGGTCTTGAACATTTCTGGTTGAGACAAAAAGTGAAAATCAGAACCCCTCTGTTTGAAAATGTGTTTTTGTATCGTTGCAGTTTGCTTTGCTGCCACTCACTGAAGAGCATTTCCAGTTTAATGAGACAGCCTACAAAGTTGTCGAAGTCTATGGCGTACTGAGCATCGGCGTAACGGTTGACGATGGCCTGCAGCACCGCATTGTTGACTTGAAACCCTGCACAGGGGAAAACACTTGTAGCTTTTACGGGTCATTTTCAAAGGTGGAGGTTGTTTTCTGGCTGAGGTGTAGTTTTTAGAGCGTGTCAGGTGTCAGCAGGTCCCTGTGTCACCCACATGCTTTGTTTCTGTGCCATACGTGCACGAGTGCAGGACGGGAGTCCCCCAACCGGCTATTCTAGTTCGTCAGTAACTGTTTTCACCTGTCTCACACACATGCATGCACGCACACACACAGCTTTTGTATTTTATGTTTAAGTTAAGCCTCAGGGGAATTAAAGCACCATCTGCTCTCACAAAGCTGTGAGTTTCAAACGTATGCCTCATAAAAAGGAGTAAAATTAAATGTTTTAGATTAAGATGTTATGTTGAGAAAGATCTAAATTGTAGCCATTTTGATATAAAAAATAATAGAAATGTGAATCACTCTCAGCTACTACCACATTAAATTTGAGCTCAATATCCGTAGAATCAACTAAATTATGGCCATTTTTTGTGTCGGCTAATGTTAAGCATCCATCTTAAACTGAATTCACACCAAAAGTTAATCAGTTGTAGATGTACATCCCATAATTAGGTTCTGTAAACTTCAATAAAATTTGCTCAGTAATCTATGAGATATTTTGCTAAGAGCCATGAACACTAGTGGACATTATTTTAACTGGAAAACCAAGTTTGAAGTGTAAGACAAAGAATTATTACCAATTAATATCTTACATGTAGTAGATATCTCTTTAAATGACCTCAGTTTGTAGAAACATGATTAAATCTGACTGCAATGACAAACTTAACGGCTTGTTCAAGCCGGGTCAAAACCAAAATGGCTTCCTGTAAATAAGCCTGTCATGATAACAAATTTTGCTGGGCGATTAATTGTCTCAGGAATTATTGCGATAAATGATAATATTGTTTGAAATTTAACAATAATTGTCAAATTTTAGAAGAAATGTTGATTTGTTTTGCATGTAGTACCTTTTTGTACCAACTGATGGCAGTATAAGACTGTTTGAACCAAAGGTTGGATAGATGCGCAGGTGTCTCTTTAAGAAAAATGGGAGGGAGGGCCCTTGACGTGACATGGGTTGACATATGGTGACATGGCTCGACATATGGTGACATGGCTCAAAGCTTTTAATAAAAAAAATCAGTAAACAAGTTCTCAGCTTCTTTTTCAGAGAAAAACAACTTTTTACACGAAGGCACAGGTTTCAACCGTGAATTTTGGAGCTCGACAAGAGGTTTATTCCCGAGGTCGGCCAGTTAGCTTAGCTCGTAGCTTAGCTTCTCAGTTTAGCTGCTTTTAACGATCCAAAAACGCAATTTTAGATGGTTAAAACAGATTTTAAAGAGAAAGGGAGGGGTCAGTGAAGAGCATTGTGTCATCCAGTGTCTTCAGTAGAAAGAGAGACACGAAGAAACGATAAAGCCGGTAAATGAAAATGAGGTTGATAATTTTCATTTATCATGCGATTAATTGATTTATTGTTTATCGCGACAGGCCTACTGGTAAACACTCTCAAATATTTAATTGTGGTTTATGTTAGAAAACTTGATAGGTTTTGTATCCCAAAGTTATTTTTCATGGGATTCTATGGGGTTTGGAAGCAAAACGAGCACTTCCTGTTAATCCCGAGACACTTCCTGTTAATCCCGAGACACTCCCTGTGGCATTTCAAACATTTTCTCAGAAGGGTGAGAGCAACCTGTGTAAAAGTTGATCCTATATTACTTACATCAACTGCTACTAAATATTTTTAGATTAAAGTCATTTTACTGCAGTAGAAATCAACTCTGGATCTGCTTGAATTAGTTGTTAACTTGTCAATCCAATCAGAAGAAACTCTTGTTTCTACAAGTTGAGTTTATTTGAAGTCCACAACAGATAATATAGTAACTCCTCTTAACTAAGCATTTAGGACAAAGCAGTTGAGGAATATAATTCTGTAATATATAAGGCGCTGTAAAGAAACTTAAATCATCCTGTTTTCTTGAGTTTCAGCAATTAATTTCAGCCATTTATCCCAAGCCTTTTGTTGGATATTAAACTGCTTCTGGGCCGTTTGTTACCTGCTTTAGTTGCAGCCTCTCTCATTTCGTGGGTGCTCATCGTGCCAGAGCCATCCGTATCGTGACTTTTGAAGATCTCCTACACGACAGACACAACATCGGTTGGAGATTTCCAACTTTAGCGTTTATTTAAAATCACATGAATCCCTCCTTACCAGATATTTTTGAAGTTTGTTCCAGAGCAAGTGGAATTCCTTCAGTCCCAAAGTGCCATTTTCATCTTTCTGAAGAAAGTTAAGATTAATAGAGAAAATGTAACTGTATCTTTATGTAAAGACCTTAACAAAGTTTTAAAGTGAGCGCCTCAAATGTCATCTTTAAATGAGGATACATCCAGCAGACTGACTATAAGGCGACTCGTCTCAAGGCTGAATCCATCTGTCTTGATGTCCGAGCCTGTAAGAAATTATCAACACGTAACTCACCGCAGTTTCTAATTCTACAACAAAAGAAAGCTATATGAAAAACAGAAAACATGAATTTTCTGCTAAATGCAGTTCTGAAACTGTGTTCTTCAAGCTAAAATGAGCAAACGATTAGATAAAAAAGTAAATTGTTAGTGCTAATATGCTAAAGCTAAAACAAAAAAAGCAAAAAGTTAGTTTAAATATAAAAGTTGAAAATACAAACTAAACATTTAAAGTACCAAAACGCTAACTAAATGCTAAAAGCAGCAAAATACTAGCTGAAAGCTAACTGTAGCTAGGGCTAGTTCAAAGTAACAGAATGCTAACGAAAGCTAAAAAATCTGAAAGATCATTAAAAGTAGCAATAGGCTAGCTAAAAGAAAAAGTAACAAAGGGCTAACTGAAACCTAAAAGTAACCAAAAGACAGCTAAAATGATAAAAAAAAAAGCTAAAAATTAAAAATAACTAAAGGCTATCTACAAGCTGCAATTGGCAAAATACCAGCCAAAAGTTGTAAAAGGTTAGTTGAAAGCTAAATGTAGCAGAAAGTTGGCTAAAAGCTTAAAATATCAAAACACTTACTATCTAAAATCTAAAAGTACCAAAACGTTGACTAAAGGCTTTAAGTATCAAGTTACTAGCTAAAAGCTAAAATTAGCAAAATGGTATGTAAAGGCTTAAAGTAGCAACAAGTTAGCTAAAATAGCAAAAGAAATGTTAATAATACAAAAATAGTTAAAAGCTAAAATTTGCAGAATGGCAACAAGGAAATACAAAAAAAAGAAAGTTAAAAGTAGCAGAATAATAACTTAAAACTAAAAGTAACGTAAAAAAATTGAGAACATCAAAGAGAACGTTGGTTTTCATTGAGTTGAAGACACATTAATGTATTTCTTTGGGCAAAATATTTGTAATCAAAGTTAAATATTTTGACAAATATAAAAATAAATAATAAAAAAGTCACAACATCCATTATGGCTAATACAGCACCACGTATGGAGTAGTGGTTTGATAGCAGAAAACAAAAAAACAGTAGTGAGCCCTCACACGACTCCTCAGTGCACTTACGTTTAGAGACGATGTTGTTAAGGATGTCAGCCAGTTCAAAGACAGATACTTCCATGTCCTGTTTGAAGAAAAAAAAAAACTCATTAGATCCTGAGTTTAGGAGGTTTGGAGTTCAGAACAGATCCATGTGAGTTTCTTAACTTACACTGCCAGCAATCTGCTTGAAGATGCGTTTGAACTGAGGATCCATGTTCTTCTCAGATACCTCCTCCTGTGGGAGAGCGACATACGTATAATGCAGTTAAGTCAAAGAAAATGTTATATTTAAGTTGTCATAATCAAGAAATACATACTGCAAATAAAGGAATCAGTTACCTCCTTTATTTCTGCATGAATTTTTGCTGCAAGTGGACTAGAACAAAAAAAACAGTTGGAGTTATTTTTTTGTACATAAAAACAACAGTGTGAACTATTTCTGCAAGTTACCTGGTATCAGCCTCTTTCTCAGAGAAGACCCTGAGAACGAAGCTGCCGTTCTTGTGAGCTGGAAAGGTGGAGGGAATGATGGCGTACTCGCCAGGAGGGAGTCTGAAGCGCTGGCACACCTCCCGAGTGTTGATGAACGTGCTCATGGCCACATGATTCTGACGCAGCAGCACATCTGGGCCCAGGTGAACGTTGCTCGAGCCTTTGTACTGACAGGATAAAGACATATTGTGTGACATTCTGCCTGCTTGATCACATGTTAGTAGTAAACATAAAATATACAAACCTCATCTGGGACCTGAAAAAACAAAACAAATTAATTAAATTAGATAAGGGTATATTTTTTAAAGCTGATTTTTTTTTTTTCCAATTAAAGCATCATAACAAAAACCTTATAAATGGCAAAGCCGATGGTCTCCATGTCCCGGTTGAGTCTTTTCTGCTGTCGTCCACCCTTTTGCATCAGCCCCACCAGAAAGGTGCATCCAGCCTTTCCGTCCAGATGATCATCATCCACATGCTCCAGACGCACCACGTACTGAGGGTTGGACGGGAACGTGGCTGGAACACAACGACAAGTCAAAGCAAAGACAGAAGCGGTTGCTCGGACATGCCGTGCTTGTGTTTTCAGTCTAACCTGCGTTGTTGCGGCAGCCTCCCGCGGTCGACCCGACCCTCCACAACCCTTCAAACTGGTAGTTGTTCCAGCGGCCCACGCCGTCGCTCTCGAGCGTGTCTGGGGTCAAGTTGCAGATCTCCAGCTTGGAGAAATTGTTTGTGAAGTCTAAATAGGACATCCTGAGGAGAGGAGGAGCAACTTTTCGTCAATGACAGGATTAACTGACGACATGAAGACACTGATTTTAGAAAAGACTCTTCAGTTGCCACTCCTGTGGCCATTAATGGTGAAGCTGCTGAGGTGGTACAACAATATAAATATCTTGGAAATGTTCTTGATGACACATTGACCTTTGACCCCCATAACTCACTTTGTAAGAAGTTCCACCAGAGAATGTATTTTTAATGGAAGCTCTGTGGTTTTAATGTTAATCCTAATCTCATGAGAATGTTTTATTCATGTTTTATTGAGTCTCTTTTAACTTTCACCTTCAGTTGGTTTGGACTTGTGACATGCCAAAACAGGAACAAACTCTCAGGGATGTGCAGCAAAACTGCTGGCATAGCCCTACAGAACGTCACTGACCTACACAAGGTGAGGTCAGTGAACAAGGCCAGGCTGATTCTGGCAGATCCTGATCATCCACTCCATGGTGAGTTCAGGTTGCTTCCATCTGGACGCAGGTATCTGCTGCCCAGATGTAGAACGAACAGACTGAAAAACTCATTCATCCCTGCAGAGATCAGGGTTCTCCACGAACAGTGATGATTTCTGTTATTGTCTAGTATGAATGTTTTATGTGCCAATGACAAATTGCCCCTTGGGGATAATAAAGATACTTGAACTTGAACACTGTCACATTTGTTAGGATGCAGATCTTTACTATCTGCTTTGAGATTTATGTTGAGAAATCAGTATTATCAGTAGCAGATGAACAAATGCTCAGAGGCTCAGGCCGTTACATCTTCGCCCGCCTTTCATGGCAACGGGTGATGAAAATGTTCTCTTACCAGAACTCCCCATCTTCAGCCACATTGTTCAGCCTTGACTTCTCATCTGCGCTGATGTAGGTCCATTCTCTGGATCTGTTTGAGAAAAACATCAGTAATTAATGAACGGCAGTGAAAAGGTTTTATTTACATTATTATAAATGTTTACCCGTCACTCCAAGGCCCGGTCCACTCCACTTCTCCCCAAGGGTTCCTGATGCGGACCAGCTGAACGGGTCTGCCTCGAGCGGTAACCTGAAGAACAAGAGGATGAAGATTACTGTGCAGAGTGTAACAGCAAAGTTTCTCTGGAGAAATTACATGTTCTGCAACATTGCAAAAAACAAAAAAAGCCTGAAACCTAAATAATCTTAACAACAGCCAAAATGACCAAAGCTATAGCTAAGACCAGCAATGGCAGAAATGTTTCTGAAGGAGTTACAGTCCAAACAGCATACAGAAGAAATTTTAAATAGGAAACAATGGAAATACTCACATTTACACAATATTTATAACACTAAAACACAATTCAGATGAATCGCATACCTCTTCTGCACCAGTAACAGAGTACGCATGTCCTTTTACAAGCTTTAGTGCTGTCACTGCCTCTGACTCGTTGGAACTTGTGATCTAAAAGCACCAAAATAAACTTCAGACAGTCAATATTTTATTACATTTTTGTTCATTTACAAGGCTGTTGAGTATACAAAACAAGACTTACATCAATGGAGCAACCCATCAGTGAACCCTTGCTCAGGGCCTTTTGAATGATTTGGAAAAGCAGTCGAGGAGCTTTGTTCAAAGTGTATATTTCAGCAATCCCTCCCGTGAAATCCTCAAAACCCTCGATGGTGTTTCCTCCTGATAAGGCCTCATAGGAGCCGTTCACCCTGTCGGACACAGAGGGATGTAACGCGTTCACATTGTACATTCACGCCACAGGATGGCTTTGTTAATTTATACAAAGAGGAGGATTTTGTTACTTAGAGTAAGCTTTCTCCAGCAAAGCACTCCAAAACTCTGAGCCTTCAGCCGAGTGAACAAACAGAAGCTTTCCGTCTCTGGTGGGTAAGCGGTCATCAATCACAACATCCACCCAAACCCCATACTGCCAGAACTGAGAGGGGACATCAGAGTGAGCATATTAACCCAACCACAAACTGCAATCGTTTAATAAGCTCTGAGTGGTCTGTGTTTTACATGTCCTCATATATTTAAATGGACTTCTGTAAGATTGTTTCTCCAGTAAAACTCATCAAACTGGCATCTTATGAATTGTTGTTTCAGCTTCCTAAATCTGTGCTTGTGCAACGTTGTCATATTACAGTTCTACATTAAAAAAAAATTACCAGTTTGTTGTGTGACGTGGCAACAAATAAAAACTAGCGATTAATAAATGTGTCATGAAAAGTGTAAAAACTGGATGATGAGGCAGAGGAGCTAAAAACATAATAACAGAAAAATCAATTTGCTAAAATACTGTGGCTGCTGAAATTTGTTGAAGAAGCTGAAGATGAGTTGTTAAACCTAAAAATGTAAAACACCAGCTAAAAGCTAAAAAAAAGCAAAAGGCTAAGCTAAAACAAACAAAAGGCTAACGTAAGAAGGTAAGTAGAAGGCTAAATAAAAGCATCAAAAAAGCTAGTTAAGAGGAAAACGTAGAAAAAAGTAGCAAAAGGTTAACTAAAAATGTAGGAATTACTAAAGGCTGGCTAAAAGCTAAATGTATCAAAAGGCTAACTAAAAGCTAAAACAATCAAAATGGTAACTATAAGAAGGTAAATATAAAAGCATCAAAAAGTTAGTTAAGAGGAAAACGTTAACAAAAATAGCAAAAAGTAGCAAAAGGTTAACTAAAATGTAAAAGTTACTAAAAAGCTGGCTAAAATCTAAATGTATTGAAAGACTAATTAAAAGCTAAAACAAACAAAATGATAACTATAAGTAAGACGGTAAGTAGAAGGCTAACTATAAACATCAAAAAGCTAAGAGGAAAACATGGAAAAAAGCAAAAGTAGCAATAGTTTTACTAAAATGTAAAAGTTACTAAAGTCTAGCTAAAGGCTAAATGTATCAAACAGCTAAATAAAAGCTAAAAATAGCAAAAGGCTAGCAAAAACAAAAAATAGCATATAGGTAGCTTCAAACGAGTAGCAGAGGAAGACAAAAATAGAACAATTATGTAAAGTTAAATATTTCAAAAACAATAAAAGTAAAATTACATATACAAAAGTCACAACGCCCATTTCCTGAATGAGCTGAACGTTATAACTACAAATGCTGAAGCAGCATTCACTGTAACAAAAACCAACAGCTGACGAGGCCGCGCGCTAACCACACAAAATAAAAACCAAACACAGGAGCAAACAAAAACCCAAGGAACCGGTGTTCAGAGATCAAAACAGTTCTAGGAACCGCTGGACCTGACAAAGATCCAACAAAGGGGACTGAATACACAGGGAGGGGTGATTACTGAGTGAGGGCAGTTGAGCTTATTTCAGGTGGAACACAGGCGGATAAACAGAAGATAAAGCTGACGGAGGGAACTATAGCCAACGACACAGAGAGGAACTAAAAAACACAAAGCTGAACACAAAAACATCTACATAAAACAAGGAAAAGCACCCAAAGATCATGACAAAGTCAGATAAAAACACTTTGCCCCACCTGAAAGTGGAATATTCCAGCGTAATTTTCAGTGAAACTCTGTCCAGGGGGAACCACTCTTGCCAGGATCTGCTGATCCAGAGTCAGAGAAGCGATGGCAGCGAGGAGCCAGCAGTCACCTGCACCAAAAAATGGAAATAGTCATAAATGGTTGCATGCACTGAAATAAGTAGGGCGTTCTCAACAGTGCAACGTTTTCCATATTCGGACTTGGTGACAGAACGGGTGGAGGGTTTCTGTCAGAGCACTTAACTCTCTTGTAACAGAAGAAAATAAACAAAGCTCCTCATCCATCATCTTTGTTATTTCCTCACACGCACCTAAAGCTCCCTGACAGATGTCGGTCCTTGTGGCTCCATCGTCAATGAACTTTGGGTCGGAACACAACTCCTAGAAGCGATGCAGAAAAATGAGGATTTTTCTTTCAGCAATGGGTGATATAACAGGGTCTTTTCAGTGACCTCCTACCGTTGGTCTCTTCCAAACAATGCCCTTTGTCTTTGAGGAGTAGGGCCCCAGCTCGTTGTAGCCCAACGACTTGCTCTCAGCTGGAAAGCAGTCATCCTCAAACAGGCGTCCACTGCTCAGACGCTGCTCCAGAAGAGTCTCGTAATCCTGCCCGGCAAACTTCACAGCCGTCTCTTTGGTACCGATGCCCTCTGCTCTATCCTGCTGACGGGCCACTCTGCCTGCGATGGAAGTCATTGTCGCCTCTCTGACTGTGGACTCGAAGGGTTTGGTCGACTCGTGAGATGACCTTCAGTCAAACGAACACTACGCAGAAGTGCCTTTGACTCAGAGTTCTTATAACTACCTCTGGCGATGGGGTCAGGTAACAGATGAGGAGGAGCTTCCGTCAGACAGGTGAGACAAACAGAACATGGCAGTAATCCTCATGCAAATCCATACCGAGCTCACGGTGACCACAACTGAAACAAAAACAGGGACACGCCTAAACTCTACCGCAGCAGAAGCACCGCTTCCAGTCTCATTTTTTTTATGATGCTTTTGTATATTGAAGGTGGGGAATGTTTGTCTCCTGCTTTAAATAATTAGTTTGATTTAGACACATGATTTTAAACGTGGTGTACAGGCGCACATTATCGTTGAGAAATTCCCTCTCTAGAAAAAATCTCGCCTGGATTACATGTTGTAAATACACCTGAGGGTTGTGAAAGGGATGGCTGAGCAAAGATACTGAAGCAACTGAGCGCAAATAGGAAACTTAAGATGTTGAAATTGATAACCTGGGGTGAGCATGGACCCACCCAGTCTGAGTGCATCCTCGTTCTGTGCCTACATCCTCCACACTGAATACAGAGAGCCTTAAACAAACCGTTCCTGAACGCCGTTTAAACAGGAGTTGAACCAAACTGTTCATATGATGAGTTTAAACAAATATGATTCGTGCAAAAGGCGGCATGGTGACACAGTTGGTAGAGATGTTGCCTCTCAGTGAGGAGGTTGTCGGATCAAATCCCGGCTGGTGGCCTTTCCGGGTGGAGTTTGCATGTTCTCTCCATGTATTTGTGGCTTTTCTCCAGGTACTCCGGTTTCCTCCCACAGACCAAAAACATGCATGACAAAAATATGCATGACATAGGCACCAGTGACCCCATGACCCAAAAAGGAAGAAGAGGGTAAAAGATTTCATCCAGCTACTATCAACCTTTATAATTCTGAATGAGTAATATCATTTTATTGACACTGATGCAGTATAGACGTTTTACAATGGCTTTTAGGTTGAAATTTGAGGAAATGAGGACAAATTAACAGAGAGTCTTGGTTTACATTAGCTGAAATTTATTTCTGATTCATCAATATTTAATAACAATTAGTGAAAATTGTCCTGATGCATGCTTAATAATCCAGGCAGATAAGTCTAACAAGGTTGAGTCAGATCCTCTGGACATATTGCTCTTAAAGAAGAATCCATCCAGAGGACCTGACTCTACCTTGATAGACTTTGTGAAAAGCTTCACTGTTGGTGGTTTATTTATCAAAACTTGTTCTGCAGAAGGAAATCAAATTATCAGCTGCAAATTTTGCAAATTATCAGCAGCAAAATAAACAAATATTCTGTTGCAGCCCTTCTTATGTGGCTCCTTGTAACGTCAGCCGTTGACTGTATGTTGAGAAAAGGGATGGATGCTTTGAGCAGTTTTCTCATGTAGATTTTTGCCGTTTATGCATGGTGTTTTTTAAATTACAAGTTTTTAAACACAATTTATGACCGGGTTCCAACTACTTGTGCATTTGTTTACTGAACAGAAACAGCTGAAGTGACTGATAATAGGTCAGCAGTACAGTGGTTTCAAAGTGGCGGTCATTCTTAACCTAGACCTCTACGGATCCAGTATGGTGTCGCTTAGATGATAAATGTTTATTTTGGTAGAAGTGTTTTACACCATATAGCCTTGCCCGATGCAACCCTCACCATTTACCGGGGCTTACTGGCACGAGAGATACACTGGCTTGAGCTCTGGCTCTTTTGTAAACTATACAAATTAAAGTGCTTTGTTCCATCAGTGAATTTGGAAAATAACAGAGTAAACGCTTCCAAAACTGCACCGTTTGATTTGTTTCATAGTTTGCAGTGACTACCTTCAAATTACAATGCCACAATGCAACATAAACTATATGCTTTTTTATCTTATTTCTAAAGATGAAGTAAATTTTGTGTTTTTTGCATGCAAAACAGTATTTTTGCATTATATTTATTAATTTAAGTCGTTTTTAAATGTTTTTAACGTCCACACCCACTGATTTGTGCGCGTGTATGTTTTGTTTATGGTCAACACATGGCTGATTTTTTAACACTTGACGTTAGCGCCTCTAGCGGCAGAAAGCGGTACTGATCAGTAGTTTTGGCTCCTCCTCCTTTGTGGGCGGGCTTTTCATTGAATGCGCGCTCGCGCTGCTGTGTGAGCGTGCGGTAAAGTGTGCGCGCGCTGTTAAGGGGTTGGTTCCCCCTTTTCGTACAGATTCACTGATTTGACACAATTTTCCGTTTCTGACTCGTTGAAAAAGTGACGTGTTCGTTTTAAGCTGTGGTGAGTTGAGCACTTTTGTTTCTTGTTTGTTAAAAATGAAAGCGTTTGTTTACGCGGACCGAGCCTAACGGTTCTCTCGATGATGGTGCAGGCCAGCGCGTGCGTCTGTGTTATTATTATTAATGTATCTGTGTGACACTAGTTAAGGCAGCCAGACACGTAGATTTAATCCCGTTATGTGATTTCTTGGTGAAATGAGCGCCGTTGCTGTGATTTATTGTTATAAATGTTTGAGTCAACCCGCAGGCCGGGTCGCTTTGCAGGCCTGTACTTTTGAACAGGTGCAGCAAAACAGGAGCTACATGAAGAAGAAGTGGTTTCTGCTGCCAACTCACTCAGGAATAGTGTCAGACAGTTTGACCTGAAAGATTGTTTGTTTTTGGTTGAGGTAGTTGTTGAAGGTTAAAGTCCTTGAAGACGCCCTCAGTTATTGCTTTTTTTTTTTTTTACTCCCCACTGGTTGAAAAGCAGTGATTTTTATGTAAGTTAAAGCCTGCAGCAGCCCCTCTTTTGACAGCACAGAGGGACATTCCTGCAGGCAAATGGGGCCTCATTTGGGGGGGATTGTCCCCCCCCCCCACTTTAAACAATGTATTTGTTTTCAACACACTCCCCACAACGATCATTTATTTCATGGATCTGCATCCTTCTCCACCTCAGCTCCATGCGAGTTTTCTTTCAGAATCAGCTCACAAGTGTTCACTTTTAAGAGTTTAGTTTTAGTGTAACGCCATACAAGGATGTTAACATGTTTCTAACATACATATTATTTTGGTTTCTTTCATTTTAACTTGATGGAAACTTGAAAGTCTTTTTAAATGTGCTCATTGGAATCTTGCAAGATCAGTCTTTGCACTAACTTGACTCCGTTTACTCAGACAATTTGGATCTGTTTGGTTTGAGGTTCCATTAGTGCCAAAATGTGCTTATGTGTCTAAGTAAAGTGTGTATGTAGCGTGCTGTATATGTAAGGTGATATGTTAAGTGATATGTTAAGTAACATATCACTTAACATATCACCTAACATATAACTTAACATATGCACCTAACATCACCTTACATATGAACCTAACATATAACTTAACATATGCACCTAA